TTCTGCCGGTGCGAAAAACATTTCAAGTCAATCGTTTGGAAATACATGTGCACTGTTGTCGTGGATTGTATTTGAGAGCCAGATTCCCGTGGAGATTTTGATCCTTCCAAGATGCCCCCAAACCCCACCATCATCATAACGATTTCAACAGATTGATTTATTGGACGATGGAGAGTAAGGAATAAATAATGGTTGGAGAAAGAGCTGTATAGTTACAGAGAGTTGACTGATGTCACTTGAGTAGTTCCAGAAGGGGGGACGCAAGTATCAAAGTCAAGAAGACGGCGCCCACGAGAGCGACGACAAGATCTGACGGGTCTCTGCTCTATGGTCGTGAACATGCTAGAAACCTTGCCTTTTGAGCGAAGGGTGTTAATATTGGAAGGTAATGGGATCGCCTTCTCCTATGGTCTCCCATTTCCTCGCTACATTAGATGCAAAATAACCCCCCCGCCCCGCAAAGCTTCCTCGCAGGCACGGCTAGTAAGTGGAAATAGAGTCGGGTGATGCCGTTAAGTCGAAGGGACACTCGTCATTCGAGGCCTCCGGGTCTCCATTGTGGTATAGAGACAGAGAGGGGCAGGCACTACGAGAACTGAGATATGTGCTGTGAAAAGGGGATTCCGTGAAGGCTTCTATTGTAGACAGAACTATGCACAGCTTTCGTCTCATTTAGGCCCCCCAATGTCCTCTCGCCCGGGGAAAAGTAGTTGGCCAACATCGGTCCCTCCCAGCCCTATGCTGCAAAGACAAGAATGGGGTGTCTCCCCCCGTTCCTGATCATTACACGTGTGAGAGAGAGCCAGACAACACCCATCTTCTTCATCCTCATCCCCCTTCCCACTAAGCCCCCCCAAGTCAAGTTTACAAGAGACACACACACAAAGAGAAAATAAGGGAGGTTCGGTTTGGGTGTGAGAAGGAGGATTAGGATTTCTTCATGCTAGTATGATGGAAGTTTTGGTGTGGTTTTTTTTTTTTACAAAGTGTCAGTGAGAAGCTTGTTAAGCTTGGCAATCTTGCCAGAGACGCTGAGGTCGATGGTCCGGTCGCCAATCTCGACAATGAGGCCTCCGACGATATCGGGGTTGACCTAGAGAAGAACAGGGAGTGTCAGTCAAAAAGAGGATGATTCTTCCGTTCAGAAAACCACATCTCTGATGCCACTGTCCCGAACCGAGGTGATCTCGGGGGAAACGGCTCGGAGATGGTGGTGGGATGTCAAGACGTACGTTGTTGGTGACCTTGAGCTTCTTGCCCTGGCCGACGTAGGAGGACTTGGCGATGGAGTTCTCGAGGCGGTTGAGGGTCTTGTTGTCGAGTTGCTGGGAATGGGTGTTAGTGGCCTGTTTTGAATGACGTCCCTGAATGCATGTGCGAAATTCCCTCGTTGAAAGTTGCAACTTTCAAGACCACACCCCCTGTCTAGGTGTTTCGAGTCCGTCTTCAATCTCTCAATGGCGAATTGCACCTGCCCCCCATCTTCAAATAAGAGGAAGAAAGAAACCTACGGTGGCGCTGGTGACAGTGAGCTCAACCTCGCCGCGGGCGGCGCTCATGATCTCGGCGAACTTCTGGGTGATGCCGGGGAGGAGGCCGAGGCGGTTGTTCTCGGCGAGGGCGGCGAGGAAGTTCTTGACAGTCTCCTGGGAGCCGGCGCCGGTCTGCTTGGTGAGCTCGGCGACGATGGCGGCCTTGTCCTCGGCGGTCAGGGTGGGCGCGGCGAGAACGGTGGTCAGCTTCTGGTCCTTGGCGAAGATGGCGTCGAGGGTGGCCAGGGCCTTGGCCGTGGGGTCCAGCGAGGAGGTCTTGGAGGCGGCGGTGTACTGTGATCGGGGGAAAGAGACGCAAAGAGTTAGCCATCTGTTTGAGATCTTTGAGTGGTTTCCTTCCGGTTGTGTTTTTCCTGCAATTCCTCCGGGAGAGCTCCCTCGTTCCCCATCAATCCTCTCAAGCAACATCCTCCCCGAACCAATTGACCCAATTGAATAACCGTCCGTCCAAGGGAGACCCAGTCTAACGAGGAGAGTAGATGCGTACCAGGGCAGTGGCGTAGGTGCCGTCGAGGCCAAAGACGGCGACGGGGGGCTTGACGGCCTCGGTCGCGGCGGCGGCGGCGTAGGTGCGGACGGCCGGGGCGCGGGCGAGGCGCGAAGCGGGAGCCGCCGCTCGGAGGGTGCGAACAGCCTGTCTCGAGAACATGTCGGGCGAAAGAGAGGTTCCGGTTGTGGTGGGTGGTGGAGTTCAATTGAAGATGGGAGACGGGCGGGAGGAAGGGATGGCTGGATTCGAACGAGACGCAGTGGTGGTAGCTTGCGTCGGTTTTCGAGGTTGAGGTTTGAACTTCGGCAATTTGGGATGTTGATGCCTTGGGACGTTGCTGCTGGGTGCTGGTTGAATGGTAAGGCATCAACTTAGGTAAGCGGGTCGAGGGCTCGGGTCGGTGGAAATCGGAGGTGTTTGTTGTTGCTGCTGCACAGGAAGGCGCCTAGGCCCAAGCTCCACTCTTCGAAGCATGTTCTGAACTTCTGGTGCAATCAATGGGATGAAGTCACTTTGGGTCTGACACTTCCAGGTTGATGGAACCCATGCAAAGTACCCAAGGTACTCGAGAGTACACAACAACTTGGTCATTCTCAATGCTCGAATTCTCAACCCAAAGCCTTGCTGCCCGTTACCCAGTTTGTAGTCTACAGTGATATCACAATAACCGCTTCCGTGCCTCGTGTCCACAGGCTCAGCAGTGACAAAGCCCAACGCGCCAATCATCAGACCTTCCTTATTACCTTGCCAACCGGCGTGTCATCCGTGTTTTCCCCAACGCCTAGACAATGCATGCATTCATACTCTCGAAAGGCTCGTCTGGCCTGGCTCAGTCGCTCTCAATCATCTTCTCCGCGAGGTCGTTCAGAGGACCGTAAAAGTCCTTGCCACTAGCCAACTTGTGCTCGTCGACGAACAGAACGTACTGCTTGAAACTCGTGTTGAGGTGGGGCTCCAACCCAAGCTCCCTGATGACCGCGTAGTGGTGGCAGTAGACGTGGGCATAAACGCGATACATGCGCTTGAAGATCTGTCGCACAGTTGAAGGAAATGATTTGGGAAAGGCAACACCTGGCAATCCATGTTAGATAACCATCTCCGATTGAGCGAGACAAAGCAATTCTCACCAATTCTGCTCGGCAGGATCTGCTCGTCATCAATATGACGCTGCACCCAAGCCATCAAGTGCTCAATGTAGTCCGGCGCGGCCATCTTAGTCGGCCTCTTGTAGTTCTCACTGTCCTGCCACAAGTACTCGAACTCATCGGTTGCCTTCATCTCGGGACATGACTGAGGCGAGCAGAATTCGGTAATAGCGCCGTAGAGGAGGTTGATCTGGTTGTAAAAGTCGACCACTGCATTTGAGGCGTGTCAGTCGTGCTGTTTTCTTTGCTCCATCCTCCAATTCCCCCGGGGTAATACTCACTATTGACTGCCAACCACTCGTTCTCGTCTTCGCCTTCAGGCAACTTCACAACCTTGCGCAAGCTGCCACCTCCGAGCGTGGCCTCGGCATACTGTCGTAGTGCAACGCCGTTGTTGGTGCCCTTGACAGTGCGCGACCGAAATTGGTTCCTAGCCGCCTTCTGGTTACTGCCGTCCTCGTAGTCGTCGTCAGCAGCTGTCAACACTGGTTCAGGGATCTGCGGTTCGGGAATCTGGATGACAGTCACGTCTCGATTGACGAGACTGCCTCCATAGCTTCGTGGTGGAGGATCAGGCACAGCTGGCGGTACCGGGGGCGGTAGCGGTGGTACTCCCGCCAGCAAGCCCGTCCTCACACTGATGTACTGCAAAAGGGACATCATAGGGGCGGTGTTGGGTGTGGTACTGACACTGTGAGGCCCGCGACCCTGTCCATTGTGGGCGGCGTCTATTATCGAAATGCGCGCGAAAGGGGGTTCGATGTTCAATGTTGTCGTCGGAGGCTGCTCATTCCAGTGGTTAGCGGGGTAATGGAACAATTGAAATCCAAGGAAAGTCGCTGAGAGATGTCATTGATATTGTGACATACCAGATAGTCATATGACGTCCAAAGATGTCGTCTTGATGCTCGTATCCTGTTTGCGCGACCGGGCGAGCAAATGTCTGGATGTGAAATGTCAAATCAAGATGTTGTTGGATCCACGATTCGCGTTGTTGGCTGTTTTGGGTGACATGAGGTAAGGTGCCTGTGAAAGGGTCCCCCCTACTACATTGAAGGGATGAATGGCGTTTATGCGCTTGCCCAATCGGTGCGGTTGCTGGGCTGCAGGAGCCCGGCTGGTGGGTACACGAGCCACAGTCGCCTTCTGCCCATTGTGGCTGAAGTGGCCCCAAGCACCCGGGGCGGCACGGCGGGTTCCGGCTCCCAGTGGCGGACAGCCGGATGACATTGGGCGGGGCTCCTAATTCCCGGAGCCGAGACCCAAATTTACGGCATTTTGCATTTGCGGATTGCTGTTCAATGTCCTCGAGACCATGCTACTCCAACTTCCAGCTTCAGAGCGTCTCCGAACCTTGACTTCGATTCAGTCGCGTCGCTCAAATGTAGGCATCCCTGTCGATTTCTCCGCAGACAAACTGAATCCTCCACGAGGACTTCTGCCGGCCTGGGTTTTTGAATAGCCTCAATTCCAAAGTGGAGACCATGTCATCCCCGCATCCGTAGTTCATCTCTTTCCCCTCATCATTCCCCAGGGCTTATCCATAGCAAGGTGTTGGTGCTTTCGGTGCAAACCATACCGAAAGGTGAGTAGTTTACGGACAAAAAACCATGCACACAAATTTCACACATGACCACAAGGGGGAGGACCCGGCCTCAAGCGTCGTCATGGGCGGACCGCAGATCTCTTGGGTGAAATAAGAGCAGCCCAGCTCCCCGCGTAACCCGCAATCTGGGGTTATGTATATATAACATTAGCCCTGCTCCCTCGATGCCATCCTAATACTTCGTAATTGAAACGAGGCAATCAGTCATGCGTGTTGTACATGTTATCCCGCTGCTCTGCAGCCTCATTGAGGCCAAGATTGACAGGCAAAAGGTCATTCAAGCCTTCAACCCTCGCCGTAATGCCAGCTCTTCCGAGACGCCGCTACAGGTAGGCAACGGCAACTTTGCCTTCGGTGCCGACATCACAGGTCTCCAGACCTTCAGCCCCTTTGCGACGATGTCAACGTGGGGGTGGCACAACTTCAGTTTGCCCACAACGCCCGGTCAGACTCAAATCGAAGGTTGGTTTGCGTGTTCGAGAGACAATGAGAAGTAACTGAGTCAGAAACGTGTAATGACTCTATTTACGACAGACTACCACGGCACAGAGTGGTGGACACACGGTCGACTCGTCCAATACAACATGGCCAACCCCTCAAACAATGACATCGCAGACTGGCTCCGCGAGAATCCGCACCGCATAAGTTTAGGCACCATCGGCTTCTCCTTTTCTGACGGCGGCAACACGACGGTCACGGAGGACATGCTCAGCAACAAGAACCAAACCCTAGACATGTGGACGGGCGTCGTTTACTCCAGCTTCACATATAAGAACCACACCGTCAAAGTCGAAACCTGGGCCGACCCAGCCTCAGACACCGTCGCCGTGTCCGTCGAATCAGCCCTCCTCTCCTCCGGCGCCCTCTCCATCTTCTTCGACTTTCCCTACCCGACAAACGACAAGTTCGGCGCGCCGTTCGTAGGTGTCTTCAATCAGACGGACTTACACAAGACGTCTCTATCGACCCCTGACGGAGGAGAAATCAACAAGGCCAGGATCCATCATGACTTGACCACGACGCAGTACGACCTGTCACTCGAGTGGGATGCCGCCGGTGGTAGCGGTGCTATCAAGACACCCACCGACGGGAGCCATCGATATGTTCTTTTGACCAGTGGGACGAATACGCTGAGTTTCACGGCCAACTTTGCGCCCTCTGCACCAGAATCTGCACCCGAGTTTGACGGTGTCGTAGCGGCTTCGAGGGAATGGTGGCCATCGTATTGGAATAACGGGGCCTTTGTAGACCTGACAGATACCGTGGATGCCAACGCTACTGAGCTTCAGCGCAGAATAATCCAGTCTCAGTACCTCGTGGCGGTGAACTCGGCGTCCGACTACCCTCCGCAAGGTGAGTCGACATCCAACCCCCTATTGCCATGTCTCGCCCGGGAAAAGGTACTAACAGGGACGTAGAATCCGGTCTTGTGAACAATGGATGGTTTGGCAAGTTCCACGTAAGATATACTCTCCAAACTCTTTGATATATGACACCCCAGCTCACACACACACCTTCAAGATGGAAATGATCCTCTGGCACACCCTCCAATTCGCCCGCTGGAACAACCACGCCCTCCTCGCCCGCTCCCTCCCACGAACCTACACCCACCTCCTCCCCTCCTCCCTCACCCGCGCCTCAACGCAAGGCTACGCCGGCGCCCGCTGGGGCAAGATGACGGACCCCTCCACCATCGACGCTCCCGGCGAGATCAACACCCTCCTCATCTGGCAGCAGCCGCACCCAATGTACTTTGCCGAGCTCGCCTACCGCCACGCGCCGAACCCGAAAATCCTCGCCGACTGGGACGCCGTCCTCACCGCAACGGCGGACTTTATGGCCTCGTACGCCTTCCGCAACGAGACGACGGGCGTCTACGACCTCGGTCCGCCCATGTACCCCGTCTCGGAGAACACGAACCCCAACGCCACCGTCAACCCGACCTTTGAGCTCGCGTACTGGCGCTTCGGCCTCGACGTCGCAATCTCGTGGAAATCCCGCCAGAACGCCTCCGTCCCGGAACCCTGGACCACCGTCAGAGATAACCTCGCGCCGTTACCCATCATCGACGGCACGTACCCCGTCTACGAGGGCATCCCCAACATGTGGACCAACACGACGGTGCAGGACCACCCCGCCATGGCAGGCATCTTTGGCCTCCTCCCGCCGCCGGCCTCGGGCCCGCCACTGAACCGTGCCGTGCTCGAGGAGACCGCCGCCCGGATATGGGCGCTGTGGGACCTCGACGAGTCCTTTGGCTGGGACTTCCCCATGCTCGCGATGAACAGCCTCCGCCTGGGCGACGCGGAGCGCGCGGTCGAATATCTCCTCCACTCGACGTTCCAGTTCGATGACGCGGGGTATCCCGTCGGCGGGACGAGGGTGCCGACGCCGTACTTCCCGAGCTCGAGTAGCTTGCTGCTCGCTGTGGCTATGATGGCCGGTGGCTGGGATGGCGAGGAAGGGCCTCACTTCCCCAGTGAGTGGGATGTCGTAGTCGAGGGCTTCGTTCCTGGGTTGTAAATAAGAGCTGAATCGGTGAGTTAGGGTGCAACGTGTAGAAATATAGACGTGCCTTTCAACTTCGATACATTCAATACCCATCCGTACAGGCGCGCGAGATGATGGATAGCTAGAGACATGAAACAAGTAGAACAAGACGCACAACTTCAATTGTTTGCCAGGAATTTCGTAAAACGCTTTAAATTTTATATTCTGCTGGCGTCGGTCGTTATGACCGGTCCCTGGATGATGAGCATTTCACAATATTCTGCTCAAGCATCCTACCAGCCTTCCACTGCGGCGTCGGAAGGATAAAGTGAACAGCCGGTGCGTTGTACCACTCGGCAGCCACAGAGACCACATCAGGGCCTCCGGGGTTTGACCTCCTTTTCCCAGCTCAAACCCAAACCCGAACCCAGACCCATTCTCATTCGGCGTGCATTCGTGAGTCATATGGGGGATGAATAAAGAAGCCTATAAGCTGAGTTTGTCGTCCTGGTGGTCAGGGTTTCCCGCACAGAAATCTCATCATGAAGGGGGGGAAGGGGAGTAAGAACATGAATCAAGGTGGATCAGAGCAAGATCTCGCCCATGTTCTCGCCCTCAAAGCCCAGCGTGCTGAGCTTCTTGATCCGCCCCTTGTCGCGCGCCTTCTCCTTCTCCTTCCGCTCGTTTGCCAGGCCCTGGACGAGCTTGAGGTCGCCCAGCTCGTAGCCCACGGGTGGGTCGTCGTCCTTGTCGAGATCGATCTCGCCCAGGAGGAGCACGTTCTCGCCGCGCACGAGGAAGATGCCGCGCTTGATATCCGCAAAGAGGCCCCCTTCGCGGGGCGGGTTGGCTTCCGGATCCGGGTGAGCGTAGACGCGCTCGACGGTGTCTTGGAGAACGAGGTTGGCTGATAAAAGGTAAGGAGAAGAAGCCCATTGTCAGCCTCTTGAATGTACAGCCGGACGAGGTTTTGGTGTTTGCCGTTTACATACCGAATTGATCCCAGCTACGGAGGACGCCAATCAGTTTGCGCCCGTCGCGCAGTGCAACCATGAGCTTCTCTGACGGAGGGTTAGCGTTTGCTGTCTCGCGAAGAGTACCGCAGCACTCATGCGGCCGAGGCTGCCGTGGTATTTCCCATACTGTCGGTCATGTCCAGCAGCTGCGCCGCAGTGGTGAACATCTGAGGCGGGAGCTGAGGGGTCTGTTGAGGTGGGGGCGCGCGGCCGCCGAGAACGGGCTGGCCCCCCTGGGGAGGGGCATCGGAGATGTTGAGGTTTTCCATTGTTATCTTGTTGGCATTGGTATGTGGTAGTTATTGCATTCGAGCCTGTCCCAGTCCATCGATTTGGGCGCAAAAAGAGGGTGTGAGGCGAATGCGATGCAGCAAAGCGAGTAGGTAGATTAAGCCGTGTCGCGAAGGGACATCATCAGGAAGGGAATTCGAATTATCGTTTGTAGCTTGCCTCGCTCTTGTTTGTATGGACAATTGTGCTTCGGTCGGCTCTTTTGGTTCAGAAACGCTAGGTGTGATCGATCAAGCCATCATCATCGTGGGGTCTATCCCTGGTATGGGCTTGGTGTGGCGGTGTTCTCAAAGGTAAACCCGACCTTAGCTGAGATGCGGCATCGGAAGGCCTGTTTTTGCGTCATCCGAAGAGGTACATCGAGCATCGAAGCGGGAGTGGGGCTGGAACGCCCCGGCAGAGACCGCAGGCACGGATCGTTTGCTGGTTGGAGGTCGGCGGCTAGGGCACGTGAAAGGCGGGGCATGAGTCAATCCCTGCTGTCAAAATTTCTGATGATCTCAGATGCATGCGGGGCAGTCGCAGTCCCTGACGGGAGGTGGTGCTGTGGAGGGGGGAAGCAGGCGGCAGCCAGTCCGGCTGTATGCTCTTGACTTCTAGTGTCTGCGCAGACTGGTTTGGCAGGCAGGTTTGCTTGGTTGGCAAGGAAGGCTTTGTGTCGCGCAAGTGACAGGAGACAAAGGTCTCAGAGCAAGTCTTGGGGCAAAGTCTGGGTCACACGAACCCCGGGAGGGCTGCAGCTTTCTTACTTCTAGCTTCGTGTTGTCTCTTTCTCACGATACTGCTCTCTGCGGACTATTGCGTTGGTCTATCTATAATCAAAGAACCATTTGGTCTCGCGAAGTGGCCCCGACAGTTCCAAAGAGCACTGACTTTAGTCATAAGTGACCATGACTGCCATAAAATTCCTCCCTCTTCGCCAGATCTCAATTGCAGTTTTGCTCTTTGATGCTTCCCATGCCAGTCCTGGGCCGCCCCTTTTGATTTTCGTCATCTATAGCAAGCAAACCATCAACGCCCATGTCATAATGCAATTATTTTTTTTTCTTTTCTCTTTTCCCTTTCCTCGGCGGGTTAGTAAGAAAGAGGTTTCGTCTGTAGACCGAATGGAGCCGACGATTTAGGTGTGCTCTTCGGGGCCAACGACTCCTCTGTCGGGAGTCAAGGGTCCTTTGAGACTTGAAAGTTTGTCGAGATCCATAAATCACCTCAGGGGCGCATCTTTGTGGTGACCTTGGTAGCATATCACACCGTGAAGATGCCTGTTTGAGCTTGGAGCCAAGAGCTAAAGCCAAGGGACCACGGCGTCGATGCGCCGGGTGCGTATCATGACTTTTTCATAGTGCACCTCGTCAATGCCTCGAGGAGCTCAGGTCGAGCTGCCAACGCATCTTTGGCCTGAGCATATGTCATCCACTGGCGCTCCCTCTTGTGGCTTTCGGGCCAGGCATCCTCTTGCGCTGTGACGGTAGCCTCGTAGAACCTGTACAGAGCCTTGGCTGAATCTTTGCTAGAGTGTTTCGGTGCTCTCGTCTCGACAATATCTCCCAAATCATAGTCGATCTCGATTGTGATGCCTGCTTCTTCCCAGGCTTCACGCGCCGCCGCTTCGGTGCACTCCTCGTCCGTCTCCCAGCCGCCCTTGGGCAGTACCCAGCCCTTCCGGCGGGTGGACTGGATGAGGAGGACGTAGCGCTTGTCCTTGGTTAGGGGGACAACACCAGCAACCAAGCGCTCGCCTTTGGAGTTGTAACCTGCGATGACCAAGGTGTTAGTGGGGTCCCGCGCAGCGAGCAGGCGCACCAGGGTCGGGGGAAGAGGCTCAGGATGGGAGGGGTATTGCCTCTGCCCCGTTTGCGCACTTACGCTGCTTGCTTCTTCCCGTGCGTGACTCCATCGTCCGCTCCTTGTGAGAGGAAGCCATCTCGGACAGCTTGTCTGTCGCGGGGTTTGTTGTGGAATGTGTTTGGGGTCGGTTATGGTGGGGGGCTGCTCTAATATGCGGTGGCGGTAGGTCCGGCAACTTTTTCCCCTCGCAAGATGATTTGCAAGCCCAAAAGCTGTCCGGGCGGCGGTGGGTGTCGGGGTTCGATGCGGGTTCAGAAGTTTTTCAACGACATGATCGCGCTTTTCAAAGTGGTATGAGCGGTTGATAGTGGGAGAGTGTACGATGCTGAATCACACGACAGAGAGGGGATCCTGACGAGGAAATCGCAGATTGTTGGCGCGTGTTGTAGCTTCGGACGAGGCTCGGATCTGAGGACCAGCAGCGGCTACCAAACTTCTCTGAGAGATCTGACCAGGGCAGACCCAAGGCGGTGCGATCGTAGGTGCGGCAGCAGCAGAGAGCGAGAAGAGTGAAAGAAAGACCAGTAGAGGGAACGCTCGGATGGATTCACCACCACAATGGAGAAACGAGTGGGACCAGCCTGTGTCGGGCCAGCAGTCGCACGTTTCCGGCCAAAGGGCAAACCTTGACCGTACCGAGTCACTCAATGGCTTACAGAGAGCGAAGTCGGGGTAAGGCAGACAGGTGTCGGCCAGGCGATGGAGATACGGCAGAACAGCAAGAACGCTCGTCGTCTGGCTGGTTCGGGGTTTGAGGATTTTGGGTGACAAATGTCGCTTGTTGTAGACCAGAGAGGAGACGGGAAGGAGGATGAGGCGGAAGGACGCGGCGTCAGATATGACTGAGGCACGCACCACCGAGTGACGAAAGACCCTAGTGAGAGGGTAAAAGATGGGGATTGTATATTTTGGCTTAGGAGCTGACCGCAACGGAACGGGCACAAGGAGCAAAGGTGTTCAACGTGGAAAGTGAAAGAAGTCAAGGCCAGGAAGGGCCAGGATGGGCGTAGTTTGCTAAGGCGGCGGCAGTAGTAATAGTAGCTGGAAGCTCTGGTGCAGGCCAGAGAGTGGCATGTCTCGTGCCATAAGAGCAAAAATGGGCGGGAACGGGCTCCAGGGGAAATTAAAGTTGATTTATATACTTAACCCTTTGAAGGCAGAGCTTGTGCCTCCAACAGCCCACGGTACCGGGCAGGGGGAGGGACTACTAAGGTGGTCGGTCCAGCTACCTAGCTAGCAGGCTACGCCGGTCAGAGGGAAAAAAAAAAGTGAAGGGAGATGGGAGGTCAGGGTATGATGCCAGGCTGGGGACGGATAGGGTAGGTTGGTGTGTGAGCGTATGTGTGTGTGAGAGTGGAAAGAAAGTGTGGTGTGGCTGCGGCGTGTGGGAAGGATGAGCAGAGCAGCCAAGGTGGGCGGCAGAAGCAGAGGCGTGAACTGAGCGTAAAAAAAGCCGATCAAAAGACTGAGAAATAAAAATAAATAAAAAATCAACAGGGTGAGGTGTGGCAAGGACAGGCAGGAGATGGGGGTGAGAAGTGACATGCATGGGGAAAGCTCCCCGTTGGTCTCTGGGTTTCTGGGATTCAGCCAGGGCAGGTCCGCATACCGCAGACCGCAGGCACAGGGAAGCTCAACCTGAACCTGAGCATTCTGGGAAGGGAAGGACCAGGAAAGCGCACCTCAGGCACGGTATCCCGTACCTTCCTCTCTCTTTCACTCTGTGTTTCCTCTTCTGTTTCTTTCTCTTTTTCCCTCTTTCTCTATAACCCCGTTTCCCGTTTACCTTCTACAATCTTCGGGTGGTTCTAGAAACAAGGTAAGAAAAACTCGCAACCTTGACGTATAGGTATTGCCCAGACAACATGCCCCCCTTTTGGGTTCACTCAAGCAACTTGAAAGGTACTCGTGAGTGCTATGGGGAAAAGCACCATACGAGGTGGTACAACTGGACGTCTGCTGGTCGGGTACGTAGGTACATGACTTGCCGTCCGACAATTCAACGACAATGCCGCTAATCTTTCTTGAGCAAGTTGATGGATCGGCCCAGGTCCCCCGTTTACCAGTCACTCACCCAGTCTCGCCATCCACGCCCAGCAGTCCAGACCCAGTGTTCCAGCGCTTTCTCTCTATCGGCCGCTTCCAGTCAGTCCGAAAGTCGCCAGGCTTGGCTTGCTACGCCTGGGCTGGTATCCGCTCAAGTACTTCCTATTCATCTTGAGATTTCTCGGGCCTATGGGGTACATACGTACATACCCACTGTTTGTCGACATCGCCGCCGGCGCACTCGAATCCTCGAGCACAAGCATTGGGTGCCAAATGTGCCGCATGCCCTGCAGGCTCGGCATCCACTGCACTTGCGGCAGGCCATGATCCCAAAAATGCGTTAGAGGGGTGGGGTGCTGCAGCCAGTAATGGACGTGATGGGACTGGAGAGACTGGCCCATCCAGTCCAGCTCCAGCGACCTGGACGTTCCCTCTCACTTTTGTCCACGGTATCGACGTACCTAGCACTACGGAGTACCATGCTTCCCACACCGTTTGCTACCGCAACCTCCTCAGTTTCTTACCAAAGTACAGAGTACCTTTGGGCCTGCGACTCAGGTTGTCAGCATCGGCCTTTACAAAGTCCACTCGTATCATCAGGTGTGAAGACTGGGGATGGCCATGAAAGGTGCTACTTGATACCACGCCTTATCCGAACACTTGGAAAGTCTCTATGAAAGTTTGCTCGACGTTTCCAAGGGTTGCGACTTGCAAAGAGCACCATAAGGTTACCTAGCCTTGGAATCAACTAATCAACTAATTGACCATGCTACCGATATTGAGACCACCTTCAATGCCGCTTGGCACGAGCACAACGGTCCGTCTCCGTTCCTTCTCTTCTCTCGATTCAGCAAGCAGAGCCGGGAACCACTGGCCAACCAGTCGGACAGCTGTACAAGTTCTCCAGTCCCCCCATAATCTGTCGTTGCCTTGGCCCCCGGGCCAAGTGATGCGACGAACAAGCATCTCGCTGGCACAGGTGTCCAATACAAGCCACGCCGTGTCACTCCGACTAAAACAAGCAAGCGCAAGAGCGTTGTTTAGGCCAAAAGGCGCCGATGTCCTCGTGGTCCAGGAATCAGGAGACACTGCCTAGGAACTTGCAAGGCCTATTCGATTCGCCATGTGCTTTGCGTACGCTATACGCAAGCCTGGGCTCCTCTGACTCGGCAAGACCAGTGAGATGCTTTGCTGAATAAAGTCTCCCTGGACAACAGAGAGGCACAATGAACCGAACAGCTGCTCTGATCAACTCAAGCGCCTCCTTTGATGTGCGAACAACTGGCGGACAGAGGCCGGTTGACTTGTTTCTGGGGTTAACAAGGGACCCCCGACTGAGGATTGCGTCGAACTCGCTAGAGGGCACAACCTAGAAGGCAATGCCAAATCTTCAACGGGGACCGACTCATCCGCAAGCTGCTCGGCTGCAGGATGGTAGCTCAATGCTGGCGACATTGGCATGCTGACTTTTGATTCTCAATATTAGCCAGGCACTGTCGTCAGGCGTCGGCTAGAATGGAACCGAGCCTGCGAGGTGGCCTTCAGCGAAGGGTTATCAGCTCACACACTCTGACCAACTATCTACTTTGCTGCTGCGGGAGCCCTTCATCACCGACGTTATCACGTCTAGAAATGGAGCTCTTTTATTACAGCCTATTCGGAGCCCAAGGGATTGTTGTACATTCCTGGTGTCAAATCGCTTCAAGAGTGAACTCATTGCGGAAAGTTCTGATTGGCTCTTGCTAGCTCTGATGTGCTCTGCCAGTGTCATCCACAACATCAATGCTCAAGGAAACTTCTACATCCCATTGAGGATTCCGGTGTCGATTGTCTGAAAAGTAGGCACTAAGTACGGACAGATGGCAGTGACTATATAACAGCAAGACTGGAAATGTAGGATCCTTTGATACAACGCGTAAGTGCGTCGTTACTGCGCCAATGTCCGTTTGAAATGAACCCAAACTCCTTCATCTTCGGCTCTCTAGCGAAGCGGTTCAACCACCAGTCCAGGGGAGGGGTGCAGCCACACACCCCCATCGCAACTGGTTGTCTTTCAGACGTTTGACGGGATGTATCCCACACTGCATCGGAATTGGAAGCATGCTGGCCACTCAAGTTACGAATAATTCACCAAGCAAGCCACGCTTTCTTGTCCAGGATAGGATTCAGATGTGGGGGTGCAACTTTCGCCCAATGCTACCGTGTGCGAGTTGAGCAGCCAAGGCAGGACCTTCTTGATGAGTTCCTCCTATGCTGACCATCACGATCCGTAACGTCCTCGACGAGAGGCCAAGCATCTGTCTGTACCTTAAGGGCCAGAACCCTCAGCCGATACGTCGTTCAACCTGGCGGGTGCGTGCACTGGGACGCAGCTTCCGCTCTTCCATTGAGTTCTAGGAGGGAGGCCCGGATACAACCCCAAGCAATGCGACGAAATACAACACCCCAAAGCTCCCCTGCATTCACCACCGATCGTATCTCGATGCCGCATTGCTACCTGCTTACCTCGGGTCTCGTGCCGGCTGGCCTTGCCTCCTGATGCTACAGCTCGCACGCTTACTCGACACTTTCCATCAGGAGGATTTCCAGCTTGAAAACTCGAAGCCGCACCTTTTACTCAAGCTATCGCATATCATCTTCTTATCCAGGTTCCTTTCGCGCGTCATTCTCCGATCCGACAGAGCCGCCGCCGCCTCATCCTGGCACGTTGTATGCGACATTTTCTTGGGCCAACGAGATTACAGACCTAGTGGTGTAGTCATCTGCCGTGAGGTAGGGTAACGCTGCCTGTTTGCATTACCCATGCTCCAGACTCTGACCTCCTGCATACCCGTGCCTCCATCGTCGTCGGATGACTAACCAGCAAAGACACGCAGCAAACAGAGAGCAGCGTATAGCTAAACTGAGCCGGCGCGTCCAGGTCAACGCCTCCAACTCGGCTTCCATACAGGGGCGTCGACGAGTTGGTTGGAGTCAAAGAGCAGAGTGTCTACGTTGGCAGACAAGGGACAAACTGACTGGGACCAGCAGGCGCAATTAATGGGGCGGTAAGGTGAGGCAAGCGCGCCAGCAGGCGGACAAACGCAACGTCGTCATACCTCTTTTTGGGGGGCTTATTCGAGGTCAAATACTGGATATTGACTGGCCACTGCAGACTACAAATACATACCGGTCCATGTAACAAGCAGGCTTCTCACAGTTCCAACGGGAGAGCCTCACTCGCGTTGCATTCACTTCATATTCCTCTATCTTCCAGGTTGTCAAGCCGCACTGCACCAAGCGCTAGACAACAGACGTCACGGCCAACCAGCTGGCAATTACAGCGCTGCAACTAAAGAAAGGAAAAGGCCGTTAGGTCGTGTCTGGCGACTAACCCCTCACTCCGTCTCAAGCTTCGCAACCCCGCCAGCCCACGCTTTCCACTCCAATGCCGCAGGGGGTGTGATAGTTCCACCAACAAGTGCGCTTCCGACTTGACTACACGGCAACAAGTCGAATCCCAAGCCGAACAGCGCCATCCGCCGAGGAGGGGATAGAAAGGCAGCGGCTCACCCCTCGACTCTCACCTTGTCACAGTCACCGGACACATAGCGTACCCCTCCTCTCCGTCGGGCGTTTAGACGTCAAGCAGCCTCGGAAGCGATCACTTCGAATATCAGCCAACGTTTCGTGCTTGCCTAGCACTAGTCGAGCGGGCTGCTTCCCTGGCGCGTTAGTAGAGCGAGCAAGTCGCAGCAGACCAGACAGTCATGGACGACACAAGCATGCAGACCCCTGGCGATGCCTTGTCCTATATAACTCCAATCGGTGAGTCGTTCGTCCTATTCTCTCCTCCAACCATCTGCCCCCGTGCAGCTTCTCTCAGCCGCCGTTGGCTCGTGGCATTTTATGGGGTAGCTCCCTTGGTCGCTCTGGAAGTGGCTTAGTTGCCTTTTTCCTCGTGCATCTGTGCCGATCGATGTCACTGTATCCCATTCCCAGTCACACAAACCTCTGACTTCAATCCTTCAAATTCGGATCAAGTTGGGGGTTGTCTGCACGCCATGGATGCGTAATCCCACGCTTACCAGCCGATTTCCCTCCAAAATTTGGGATGTGTCCTCATCATACGTACATTGAACCCGAAGGCACGCGATTGGCTGTTACTTCTGTTCCATTTTCCCCCCTGGTCTCTGCTCCCGGCCTTCAAGGCCCTACGAGAGTTGTTCCCATTGTTTGATACACACATCTCGGAGACGACTTCAGGACTATGAGGCCTGGAAATTGCGCTTAGCTAGCTACTACTCAAGACTTTACATCGTATGGCTGGCTAATACATACTCAGGATACTCTAATTCATCGCGCTGTGGTTATTGTGGCCGCCAAGGCAAGAGTCAGTCAAAACGTGAATGCCATCCCTCGTTTTCCATATCGTCTCGTGTAAGCCGCACGTGGGCTTGCGGAATGGTGACTTGCAGTCGGCCACTGTGGGAGTCCCTGATCTGATCCGTCACTAACTTGAGCCTCTACTCGACAGGCTTCTCTTACTATGCCAAGTCCACATCTCTTACTCCTGAGTACTACCAGACCCTGCTGGATCACTACTGGAGGCGCTCCGGGACGACCCTCTATCGGCCGGACCAACTCCACGCGTGCTGCGTCCACTACACCCTTCGCTTAGACTCCACTCAATTCAAGCCCACCCGAGATCAACGACAAACCATCAACCGGTTCAACAAGTATCTAACGGGCGACGCCTACGTCAAGGAGGCAGCTCGTCTCCACCCTCGGTCACGCGAGCAGGCTAAGAAACGGGACTCTGAGTTCGACTTGATCGAGAGGGTCCACGAGGCGGAATACGACTCACTGCAGCTGCCTCCTGAGCCCGCCCATGTCTTCACCGTTACCCTAGAAGACGACGTCTTCACCGAGGAGAAGTACCAGGTGTATGAGAACTACCAGCGAGTCGTCCACGGGGAGGAGCCGACCGACATAACTCGCCGCGGCTTCCAACGCTTTCTGTGCGAGTCTCCGGTCCAGCGCAAGACAATCACGACGGCCGATGGCAAGGAGCAAAAGCTGGGCTCCTTCCATCAGTGCTACCGTCTGGATGGTAAACTGGTAGCCATTGGCGTACTGGACCTGCTTCCCCACTGCGTTAGCGCCGTATACTTCCTTTATCACGAGTCCATTCACAAATTTGCACCGGGAAAACTGGGCGCCATCCGTGAGATTGCCCTGGCACGGGAATATGGCTATCGTTACTGGTATCCCGGTTTCTATATCCATAGTTGCCCCAAGATGCGGTACAAGATGGACTACACGCCCCAGTATATCCTGGACCCCGAGACGCTGGCTTGGGATCTCATGGACAAGAGAGTTACGGGCCTTTTGGACAATAAGCCGTACCTGAGCTTATCGAAGGAGAAAGACGATGAACCGGCTGTTGAAGGAGACAAGGATACCTCAGATCAACCTACGGCTGGCCAAGAAGAGTCGACAGAAGACTCGAAGGACGACAATGCCGATGATGATGATACTTTCTTGTTCAACACAGGTATGCCAGGCATCATGTCACTTGACGAGGTCCGCTCACTCGAGGAGATGGACCATATCAAGCTGCGTATAGACGGCTCTGGACTTCTTTTCGAGACCGGCGATCTGGTCACGTGGGAGCGTCAGGATGTTGGAGTTAGCGGGTGCCTCAAGGCTGGCATTGCGGAGTTGGTGGCGGCATTGGGACCTGAGCTGTTGGAGGATATAGTGGTGGACTTTTGGAACCCCCATCTGTGAAGGATGGTTCTGGCTTGACTTTGCTGGTGGCCATGTACATCTCTACCAGTACTGCAACTAGTATCATAGTTGTGTGGAGCGAATGCAGGAATATGGAGCGTTGAAAGCCCGGTCTTGTGTGGCGTGATGATTGTTTCGTGAAACTCTGGCGTTCGCGATGTCTCGAGACTGGCCAGAGAAGGGGCAACAGTAATACTATCATGAGATTTTTCTAAAAGCCAGAGTGAAAGCCGGCCACATGCTGAGCCATATAATCGAGTATTGACTTGTGAGAGGTCATCAACATCCGGGGAAGATGGCATGCTCACCCACCTTCGACTTCCCTAAGATTTCATCCCAACTTCATCTTCACCGCCCCAATCAGAGCCTCTTAGTTGCCAGAACACCATTTTTGCCTCACTTATCTCCTTTTTCTTCGATAGGAAGTCATCACCAGGACCAGGATTCAGTCTCAACGTGTACACAGGAGATGTAGCTTACTCTGTGGCGGAAAGATGAGTGTACTCTCTTTTCGATTTTGAAGAATATCATTTCCGGCAGTTGAACTTTGCAAGTATACATTCCATTGACGGAGACATGAATGTAGGTAAAGTTGATTGATATCACTTATGGCTTTACTTGTCTCAGGGAAATGTCCTGAGTCATGTATGCCTGTCATCAGGTCTGCGATTAGACTGAGTACGGCTGATGATGTTGACTCAGACAGAAGTCATGAGATTTACTCGTCACTCAAGACCATGGAATATTGCCAACCATTACCCGACGAAGATGTAGCTGGCGATATCTCAATGTGGATGTTGAAGGCATGAAGTCGCAAACACGTTGGCCCAGTAACACGAATTACCTAAGACACGTTAGCTGCGCCCGTCGTACTTTCAGGAGCCTCAAACGGCCTTATCTTATCAGGGTCCGCAATCGCACCCACCTGATACATGGGGGAAAGAGCAATGACGAACTGCCCGCCTTTCCAACCCGCCCACCCTCGGAGCACTCACAGCGGTGGCCCCAGTCCATCCTCCGTCGCAGCGTTGCGCCTCGAAACCGAGCCGGTTCAGGCACGAGACCAACTCAACCCTCCATTCCTCCTCCGTCACCGATCACCGGTATCGCGTGCCCGACCGACCGACCGAACTACCTCCGAAACCTCGTGCACCGAATACCCACGGGCTACTTCATTTCGCCTTTTCTGCTTTACGTTGCCATACTCCGTATACAACACCCTCTTCGCAACGAAGTCGGCCCCCTCCAACTTCCTCCCGACTAACGAGACAAAACACCGTCGCCGAATCGCATAGTCTCATCGCATCCTCCTCCTCCTCTTCTTCAAAATGGGCGGCAACACAAGTAAAGTCACCGCCCAGGACAAGTACGTCACCAGCTCCCAATCCCACCGAATATCGCGCGCGCGCATGCGAAGCTCGTGATGCGCAATGCGCGATGCGCCCTCACCCATCCATCCAACCACGGCCATGATAGAAACCAACACCCGCTAACCCTCGATACTCTTCCTCCAGGGCAATCTTAGACATGAAGCTCCAGCGCGACAAGCTCCACCAGTACCAGCGCCGCATCACAGTCCTAACAGACAAGGAGACGGCCATCGCGAAGCAAATGCTCGCAAAGGGCGACAAGCCGCGCGCCCTCCTCGCCCTCCGCCGCAAGAAATATCAAGAATCCCTCCTACAAAAGACAGACGCCCAGCTCGAGCAGCTCGAGAAGCTCACGTCGTCGGTCGAGTTCGCCATGATCCAAAAGGATGTCGTCTTTGGTCTGCAGCAGGGCACCAAGGTGCTCAAGGAGATTCACTCCGAGATGGGCGGCATCGAGCACGTGGAGAAGCTCATGGGCGAGACGGCTGATGCCATCGCTTATCAGAGGGTACGGGAAACGGCCACGATGTGCAGTCCAATGTGTGTTTTTGGAAACTTGGCTAACAGTACATTCTTTACCCACGTTGTAGGAAGTTAGCGAGATGCTTGGGGGCCGTATATCAGTCCAAGACGAGGAAGAAGTCGAAGACGAGCTCGCCGCGCTCGAGGCCAGCGTCGCCGGCGAAGATGCTATCCGCAACCCGCCCAAGCAGCACAAGCTCCCCACGGTGCCCGACACGGAACTACCGGTCCCGCAGGGCGAGGAAGAGGAGCCCGAGGCGCAGCAGCCGATTCGGACGAGGCAGCCCATGTTGGCTTCATGATCGGGCGTCTCTTTGGACGTGTGTTCCTTCCTGATCTTTCCCATTTATTCTTAGCACATCTTTCTTATCTTTACGTTCTTGATGATACAAGGGGGGGCCTTCAAGCATGCGGGGGAATTTCTGGTTGCATTTTCATGGAGTTTGAGGTGTGGCAGCATGTCTTTTCTTTTTCACATCTATAGTAGTTTTCTTCATCTCTGCGCGCGGCAATATGTCACTAGACGGGGGGCGGGACGGTTCGACATGTTTGCTTTTTTGAATTCATCAACTACACCATTGCATTGTTTCGGAATGTGCCGTTACTTGGCTGCTAGAATCAACTCTCAGGGGGTTCAATACAAATGAGCTGATGATCACATCGATATTGATTCAAACCAGGATTCACAGTATAATGATGGCTAATTCGGCAAGTGATTTATTGAAGATGGGTATCCCGTGCTCCTCGTTTCTTTTCAGAGTGAACTTCGCTACCAGTGCCTCTGCGGCAATGGCTCTGAGAGCTTTCTTCCTCTTCCTCTAACGCTAGGCCATAGAAACGGAGGCTCATTCAATCTCCCGCTGGTTGGGGGCAGTGTCTTGCCTGCAGGACCTATTAGTGAGTGGATACTAGCAGATCGGGAGGGAGCGGGAAAGGGGTACCTTGGTTGTAAAGGAGTGTGTGATGGGATATAAATACTATATCATTCTCCCCAAATACTAAAGTAAGTTTTACAGTTTTTCTATATTACTTGGATTCCTCAGACGACACGATGCCGGTATAATATTAATTCCAATTCTGGCGGAGCTTTTGTATACATTATATGTTAAGGAACTACCTAAAATATCCCATTATTTCTAGTACGGAGGGCGGCATGGAAGGGTCAGTAGACATCCCAGAGACGTAGGACAGCCAAAAGCACGCCGTATACCAAACCGAATATTCCCATGACCCCCTACCCCCCGAAGGTTCCTGCCTGCCTTGCCATCTTATATATACCCCCTCAACCCCAATCCAGTCACCAGCCAGGAGGCGCCCGTCTAGGTCGACGGGTCAGGTCAAACTGGCTGGGTGGTGGAGTGGTCTATGGTCAACAGTTCAAATTTCCGCCAACCAGCCTTACTCGACGACAGGCTCAGCGCATACCCCCCAGAGTTCGAATCCCAGCATGAGCACCAAGAGATGTAGCCCCCAGTTCAGCACCGGGTGGGGTGAACTCTTTTTTGAGTCTCATCGTCCAAGTATAGGTCTGTGTAATCTGATGGCGCGAACAAGTCTCCTTTTTTTTCCCCTGACACTGAGGGGTCAGGGAAGAACTGAGGATTACTTACACTCACTCATCCATCATCCAGACGTCCAGAAGCGGTTGATTGATTGATTGGGTAGACTAGAAAGATGCTCTCGATAAGTCGAGAGGCAATAAGATGAAGTGCTCCCGCTTCTGACAACCAATTGTAGATTTCGGAACAGCCCGGAATAGAAAATCGTTGTTGGCTGTTCTTCGCATCATCATCCTCGACGATGGCTTGGCTATTTGCTCGCTGTCTACCGCAGACTGGGTGGGTATCCTCGGAATCATCAACAAAACTTCGACTACCCTACCAAGCCCGTGTACGCGCAGGACAGCCATGTGTTGTGACCAACGGAAATTCCGAAAGGGACTATTGTGAGTGTGACATCTTGAGACGGAGGGTGATGCCTCGTAGTCATGTCAGCATATCCACGAAGATATGTAACGGTGCTTTCCGTCGTGCAATGAATTCGATGTGGTTCTTTAACATGTTCTCATTCGGATGGGTTTCCCATCCATAGTCCTCCACTAAAACGCAGACGAGAGCAGTTTATGCTCATCGTCTTTGGGTATCATATCTAACAACTCCTTCCATGCATCCTCCCCAAGCTGTCACTGGCTGACTGGCCCTTCTGTTCCCTAACGAAGAAAAGACTTATACCTCGCCCGTCCGTCCATGGTGATTCTCAAAAACAATACCCCTCATCGGCGGATGCTGGTAATCCATGAACGCCTTGCATATGCTGCCATCCCTGATCCTAACCACACATGGTTGCATAATCATTACGATTATGAACAGTGCTGGAAACATATTCCATGTCTAGTCGTGCTTACTCGAGCACGATTACGTCGTCATTTGAGCGCGGCCACTGGCGCGGTTGCGATGGCCTGTATCGGTCGGACCTAAACGGATCCTCAGGTCCTGGAGCTGGCATGGCGTGTCGATGAACGGGGACACCGTATGCTCCCTGCATCGAGTGATGTTGCGAATGCTCATATGGCCTATATGTGATCCGAGTTAGTTCGTAGATTTCGAGCGCTTTTCGCAGCTAACTTACGCTCCGCCATATACAGGCGACCGGACTCCGCGCTGAGCAAGGCCGTCATTTCGAACTGCCTCCACACGTTCATAAGTGTGCACCGGATAGGCTAGATCAGCTTGATGCGGCCTCTCCACGCGCCTAACGTAGATGGCCTGCCCGGAAGGTTCGGCTGGTCGATATGACGGCGGCTGTTGTGCAGTCCGATAGTCATCGAGACGGGAACGACCATCAACACCATATGTAGAATGCCTGGGTTCGGCGACAGGGCGCTCTCTAAGCCTGAGAAAGCCCTCCTCTTCCAGTCCATTGCGCTGATTGATGTTGTTCTCCCGTAAGCGAATGAAGCCTTCGTCCATTGAATTGAAACGCTGAGCATCCGGGCCACGATCACGTCCGGGACGGTGGACAGCAAGGATCTCAACATCGGGGCCAAATCTGTCCCTAACGCTCTCGCCTGTGCCAAGAACGACTGTACCTGGGTGAACATTGTGATCCTCAATCATAATGGGATTGGCTCTTTCTCCTGGGACACTGCCTTGACGTCGTCTCAAATTGTCCTCTCGGTGGATGATTCTATCAGCGTAAACCTGAGGTCGGGGAGGGCCACGATCTCGCATGGGCTGCTGATACACGAGTGGCCGAGCTGAATCCTGTGGCACATTGCGATATAATGGTTCAAGCGGTTGAACAATGTCCTGGCCATCACGCAAAGGTCTCGCATGGATGGGATGACTTTGGTAGATGGGGGGTTGATGGACGTAACGCTCCTCTCGTACCATTGGGCCACGGGGTGGGGAGTTCAGACGCGGGTACAGCTCATCACCTCTGCGGTCCGTGAATTCCACCATGCCACGGGAATAGCGTGATGGAGATCTCACACCGTCAGGGGATCTCGGCTCAATGGATGGGTGGAGGAAATCTTGCAGCTGGTTGCTCTCTCGAGCCCGGGCACCTGCGTGGTTTGAGGGACCGAGACTGGGAATGTCGCCAGCTCCATTTACCTTGGGTCTCCCATAGGCACTTTCCATGTGCTGCCTGGGCTCATATGCGTTGTTGCGGGCCGGTGCAGGGGGTAGCCTCATCTGCGAGCCCGCGCGATTGATATGCCCCATGGGAACTCTGTTCTCGATGAATTCAACAGGCGGACCCTGTTGATGCGCTCCGTGACTAACGGAGCTGCCTGCCTGGTTCGTGCGATCATCGGGCCCGCGCTGCCGCTGTCTGGCGTTATCCCAGGCAGCGTTTGCAGCAGCCTCATAACGACTGAAGTTACGCTCACGGTGCTTGGCCCGTCTGCGTGCCTTTTTGTAAGCCCTCTTGGACATCCCGGGCGTGGCAAGGGGCATTGGGGATCCTGGATGTGATGGTATCGCTGTCGACAAGCGTTTATCGCGGTTAGCGACGTTCTGGACTACGGCCGGCTCCGATACTCTGCCAACGTTGTGGGACCTGGTGATGAGTACCTCCGACGAGTCAGAGTCGGGCTCCTCGCCCGAGTCCTCATCGTCAGAGTCGTCAGAGAGAACCACGACCTCGCGAAGGATTTCATCAAGCTGGTTGCGGCCATTTTCGTCGTCGCCTCGCCACTTGACGAGGAAATCCAGGCAAAGCTGCTCGGTAACTCGCCTGGCATTATGCCAAGTGGTCTCCCTAAGGAGTTGGTCATATCTGGTATGGTTATGTCGAATGTGTGCCAGGACGGCAAGCTGCACTCGCCGCGACAGAGACAGGTCCTGCTGGAGCCCTACGACTAGGTCGCCTTTGAATTTTGTTCCCTATAGTATTTGTTAGCACCTACCGATCTCACCCATAAACTTCACGGCATCACAAACCTTTTGGAAGGCATGGTCGATAATCTGCTGCCGGTCGGTATTCGGAATCCGAGGGAATAGTTCTCGTAGGGCGGCGTCCGCCTGCTTATCGATTTCGTTCTGTTTCTCGGGAATCTTCTCGACCTGAGCGTCGCCTTGACCTATGAGCTCCGGCTCGTTGACACTGTCCAGTCCTAGTTCCTCCAGAGCCCTATCCACGATATACTCGCGAATGTGGTGTCCGACACGGTGAATTTGTTGACTCAAGTCCGTGGCGTTATTCTTGGCCATGGTCTAGATCACATCTGATCAGCAATCTTCTTCCGCGGTTGTTGATTTTCGACACTGTCTTACCACAATGTAGACCGAGGCCCCCGTCTCTCTTGAGATGTCCTTGCATCGTTCGGTCAGTTCAGGATTGCCAAGGGGGATATGCCTCATCCCAGGAGGCGGGGTTTTGTTTGTTGTAATCTGGCGCAGTGTTGGTTAGTCCGGTGGTCGTGGGGTCGGGTATCGAGGGGACCGCCTCGGCGCGGCATACCTGGAAGAGCAGAGGCTTCTTCTTGTCTTTGTTCTCGACGAACTCGAAGTACGACTGGTGTTTGCTGTTGTTGACCACAGTAACTGGCTTCGCGGCGACGAGTCCTGGCGGCAGCGGCGCGCTGCGATCAATGGCTTTATTGACCTTGCCAGCCTTGCGGTGGCGATCCTTGGCCCCGGTACCCGGGCCAGGGTGTGGTTTCTTCTCTCTCCCCATGTCTGATGATGCTCCTTTATTATCAGCTTACCATGGTGGTTCGAAGACCAAAGTGCTGTCTAAGGCTGCCCCTCAGGAAAGAAAAAAAAAAGATGATGAAAAACGACAGTTAGTGAAAGGGATGACAATCTTTGTCTCGCACCAGAGCCAGCACGGAGACAGGGTGGTGTCCAAGTCAAGTACGTCAAGCCAGAAGGCGCGCGTCTGCAAAGTTGCACCTTCTTCCCGAAGGCGTCGACGTCAGCAAGTGGTACTTGCTGCGCGAAGGAAACGGTAAAAGCAGTGGTCACGCAAAGCGGTAGACAAGAAGGAAAGTTCAAGTTTCCAGGCGGCGGAAACTTGGAAATCTGCGACTTGTCAAAAGCAGTTGCGGCAGGAGCTCGTTGCACTCGGATAAGACGCGCGTGCGGTGGTGCTTGGATAAATGCGTGGGAGCAAAAGGTCACAAGTCACGACGGAAACGCCAGGGCTGGTTGAGGCAAAGACGTTCCAGTTGAAGACGCAGACGCAGGAAGGCCCAAAAGAAGTCGGGTCGCAACTCGGATTCCTGCTAGGTACTATCGGCACGTGATGATAGTGGCGGGGTGTTCCTGCACGGGCCCACCGATCTTCAGCCAGGTGCGTGAACTTACTTGTAGGCATGCTTAATTGCCTACCTTGCCTAAAACCATATACCGAGATTAAGCGCCCATACGAAAGAATCGTCAAGAGGCTGGGCAAGGGAGGTCCGAACGGGTAAACCGAGGTTGTTTCAATCGAAACTTTACTACAGAGGATGCGTCTAGACCCTCACTTGCTCGAGGCGCGCCGATGTTCAAGGCATGAGCAGCCATCATGTCCCGGACATTGAACAGGCTAAGGTCACCCAACGAAGCATCGCATTCTTTTTCAATATCGTCATTTGATTGCAGTCGAATCCAAACTACAACTTGGTTCCTGTCCGTGCTTCCATTCCATTGTCCCAAATATGCTCGGTGGTTTACATCAACCTCCGAGCCAAAACGCCATCGACCATTATGTATGCGTTTGTTCAACTGCAACATTCACAGCTAGCAAGTAGTTCATGCGAATCATAATTTCTTAGTTGTCGTCCAGAGAGTTGAGATGCTTCTTCGTGAATTCGAAGGCAGAGAAAAAGATGGCGTTGACGACGCATGAGCGACCCATTGAAACCCCCAGTCCGCGATACATATTTCGTTTGAAGAATTCTATCTTCGGGGGCGGCTCAACTTGTTGCCCTTTCGAGTACAAGAGTGAGTTTCGCTGGTAGATGCTCTTTGCCGAGTCGATGGGGTCTACCAAAGGATCAGCGTCACTTGCCCGAGGTTTCTTATACGAGAAGCACATACATATCATTGCCCAGGATACTATCCCGCACATACCCCCAGAGATGACAACCGCAAACTTGTTAGTCGTTGGGTGGTCGCCACCAAACGTAGTTCCGAGCTGTTTTCCGCTCTCGTAGACCATGAAGTAAATGGCCGTTCCCAACGTATCTCGCACTGCAATGGTCAGCTGAGGGATTTGATGGGGTTGTACGCCTGGGCAGACTTACACAAGTGCAAGTTGAAGCCAGTGTAAAGCCCCAGAGCACCCCTATGGCGAACAATGTTGCGCATGGTCTTGAAAGTGCCCTTATTCTGGTAGCTTGCTGCAACCTGGTGTCCATTGGTGGCGCGGCAATTTGCTTCCTTGAGCTTTTGCTGGTCTGACAACAAGACGGCCACCTGCGCGCTGAGCTTGGTCAACTCAAAGGGGCAGGCGAGAAGCGTGATGCATGAGCCGGCGGTGGCGCCGGCAGCTCCAAAACAGGCAATGGAGTACAGATTGGGATATGTGCCTTTCGTATTAACATGTTGCAACACGTCGAATCCCAAGGCGTTCTTAACCCAGCCGGAGTAGTTATGTTTGGCGCGTTGGTAAATCGAAAAGGACATGGTTCGGACGAGTGTGATACTGGCCATTGGGGCAAGGACGCCTAGTGAGGGGCAAAAGAAGGTTAGTTAACGGGATCATGACTTGGGGCGAGATGAGGGGTCGCGTGTGCAAGGGAGGTGGAGGAAGAGGGACGGAGGGACTCCTTACCCCGAAAGAAGCCTCTCAACTTCTCGGTGCGATATGTGTGCTTCACACAATCGAGGAAGCCTTCGTATCGGTAGGTCTGCATTCGCGTTTTCACGCTATCGAGGGGAAAGGCGAGGACAGTCGAGAACATGCTCGACGTGCTGGCGGCGATCTCGGTGCGGTAGCGCTTGACCAGCCTCTGCGGGCGCTCTTCCTGAGCTCGAGGCATGATCGCAGTCGGTTGGCGGGCCGGAACATGGTGTATTTGGTGATATTCGGATTCTGTCGCTGGCATGCTTCTAGCAGTGGCGGTTTGGCAGCGCCTTCAGACGGTGATCTCGTGGGGAGAGATCAAGGTCTTCAGCGCGGTCGTGATACGGCCCTTTGCCAGTTGGGGTTTTGGTCCATCCAGACCGCGCAGCAGGTGGAGTGTTGGTTTGGGCGAGCGACAGACGGGGTGACGACGTCGCGAAGGTTGGAGGACTGACGGCGAGAAGCAGAAGGGAAACAGAAACGATGGTGGTGATGACGAGTCGAGTGGTCAGAGATGTAGAAAGAGCTGTCTTAAGGCAGTCTGGGGAATCGAGAGCTGAACCCCCGGGAATTGACGCTGTTGTGCCCGCTAACCATGAGAGATTTGCGGGTTAGGATGAAAGAGAGAAGAAGGGAAGAAGCGTCGAGAGTGTAGGCGTGAACTACCTAGTACTACGGATACTTCTGAGGTAACTCGGATTGCGGGGTCGGCAGTGGGAATCTACGGCGTAGAAAGATACATACGCATCACAGACTCTTGTATTCGTAGCGTCACCTCAGCTAAGTATCCGTAGTTCAACGTACGATTACGGCTACAACTACAGCGCACAACCTTGCCTTTTCCCTGACCTCATGGCAAGCTCAGTCCAGCACCTGGCCCCCTCATCATCCCCTTCTTACCTCAACTCCAGTGACCGGGAGAGGTTCCGACTCTGCGCTGGTTGTATCAGGAGGTACCTTCAAAACGACGACCATTCCAGAGCTGCAGGACCAGGGCAGTTCGTGGTGCGGAAAGCTGCATCCTTTCCGCACCTGGGAGGCCCCCCTTCGGCCCCGCCCAGCGACCAGTCGTACCACTGCTGATTGGTATCTCCAGGACGCACCTCACTTCGCAGCAACAGATACCTACAGTGATACCTGTGCCTTAGTGTCTGGGTCCACTGAAACGGGACCAGGGCCCCGTTGGATCTCCAACGATTCTGCGCTTCTCATTTGTTCCTCCCGGTAGCGGCCGCTAACACCAATCAGCCCAGATTGGCCAGTTCTGCCATTTCAAGAATCCACCGTCACAAGCCAGAGACGCCTCTCCCATTCTCCGCGGTGGGCTATCTCAAGTGTCACTGACTGTTTTCTCACCCGAGCTTTTGGGGATATCGTACTTGTCCAAACGGACAACTCGGTCGACCACCTTACGACAACAGCGGGTCGGTTTCACGGGGCGAGCTATTTTGTTTCCGAATTGGGTATTTTTGGTTCTCACAAACAGATCCCTAATGGAACCACTCTTTTTTTATATCTCCCCGTACCGGCAAAGGGCCGACCACCACCGCCCTGGCGGCCGAGACTCTTGGCTCCGACACGGGGGGTGTATACGGGGGGTTCGCCTCAACTCTCCCCTCTCAGCCCTCAGCTCAGTCCGTGAAGGTTGGGTACCTCATTTCTCGCTCACTTCCCAACCTTTGGGGCAGAACGCCCGCCATGTGCGACGAACGTCATTGTCTCCTAGACGCAGCCATCGACTCATATCCCCCCTTTCACCTTTCGACTGTTTTCTCTGTTGAGTGATACTGTCTCAATGTCTCTGGCCTCATTCGGGGGGGATTCTGAAGCAAAGACCCGCAAGAGGCGAGAACAATGAGCTCAGAAACAGTAAGAATCAACATACAAGCGGGCGCCAGCAGCGCTTCGCCAGCAAATTATCGACCATGCAGCCATCAACAGCTTGACGTCTGCTCCAACCCTCACGTAGCCAAACGTGCTAGCCAACCACAGGTGAGCCGTTTCACTTGCTGACCCCGCGCATCTGCAGATCGCCCACCTGGCAAAGGTCGCACCAGCGATCGTTTCTCTCCCCGACGCCAGTTTCCTCCAATGGCTTACCCTCGGATATGAGAATACCTACTGCGTCGCGACCTCTCGGGGTTATCGTGTTCCGTTCCGTCTTCCCGCCGTCTTCCCACCCTGGCACCACAACAAGCCTCGATGCGTGGTATCTGGGCTGATGATCCCGTCTGGGCATGCTGAGTTTGGTCACTTACTCGGACCTTCAATGCCTGTATGTTCCAGTATGATAGAAGAGCTTGAGAGCCTCAGAAATGAGTAAATCTATACTCGTTGGTGAAGATGAGTGCAGGCTGTAGAGTGACAATTCGGCCAAGAGTATGATGACTTGCACGAGACCATCATCTCAGTCGAATGCCCATCGACTTGTTCAGCATGTTTATCGTCATGTCATAGTGATTATACGCTGTAGCCTTCATGTTGTTGGCCTCTTGGATGCTGAATGAGTCAACGTCAGCGACCATGTCTCTCATAATCAAACAGAACGGAAGTCAACCAGAAGAAAAACTCACACGTCCTTGCTCCGAGATTCCGAGTCCTTGCGGTAGCTGACCTTCCACGTATCCATATGCTGCCTCTCATACGCCACGCGAACGAGGTTCTTGAGGACTTTGTGCTCGATACCGGCCTCTCTGCGAGCCGCCTGTATAAACCAGAGTGTCCTCTTGGACACTTCCGGGTCCCACGCCGCGCTCTTGTCGCGAAACGACGCCCTCAGCTGGTCGCGGACGGTGTACCTGTGTGGCGGTGCGAATTGGACTGCCCGGAGGAGCTCACGGTAAAGATGTCTATATGCATGGATGATAGGTGTTTTATCCATCTTGGCTTCGATTCGTGAGCTTTGCCTTGTAGAAGATGAGTTTCGTTGGGATGAATGATTTCGGATTTTGTGCTTCAGGAATTCTTCAAACAGCAAACATTTAAATGAATGATTAAGTAGTATGCTTGACGGCGAAGTAAATGTCAACTACATGTAAAGGTGAGAGAAGACCCTGGCAAGAGCTCCCGGGAAGCTCAGTGACCATTTCAATTCAAGGAGGTGCACGGGCCACTTTCAAGATTTCCACCCCAGGCACTCAGATCCGACCTCAACTCCAAAAAATTCCATCGCCGACCTCACACCAGACCACCTCAACCCGCCCTCAATCCCACCCCCCGGCCATCCACCATGGCGCCCCGACTACCCCCGAGCTGCCTCCAGCTCCTCCGATCGACGACGACGACGATATCAAACACCTGCTCCGCCGCCGCCAATGCCTCGGCCGTCATCGCCCCACGCCTCCAGCTCCTCCCTTTCACCGCGAAGCGCGGTGTAAAGTACGGCTGGTCGACGGCGCCCAAGCGCAGCAAGCCCACCCGTTTCAACCAGCCCACCGCCGGCCTCCCCGTTCTCACCACCGGTCCCGCCGCCGCCCTCGCCCGCCGCGAGAAGACGACGCCCCTCCGCACCGGCGTCCTCGCCGTCAAGAAGGGCATGACGGCCATCTACTACGGCAAGAAGCGCATCCCCTGCACCGTGCTCCAGCTCGATCAGGTTCAGGTCGTCGCCAACAAGACCCGCCCGGACAACGGCTACTGGGCCGTCCAGGTCGGCGCGGGTTCCAAGGAGCCGCGCAACGTCGAGAGGCCGATGCTGGGCTACTACGAGGCCAAGGGCATCGCGCCCAAGCGCCACCTGGCCGAGTTCAAGGTCCGCACCAAGGAAGGGCTGCTGCCCGTCGGCGCCCAGCTGTTCCCCGACTGGTTCCAGACGGGCCAGTACGTCGACGTCCGCTCCAACAGCCGCGGCATGGGCTTCGCCGGTGGTATGAAGCGCCACGGCTTCGCGGGTCAGGAGGCGTCCCACGGTAACTCGCTCAACCACCGCACCATCGGTACCACCGGCCCCTCGCAGGGTTCCGGTTCCAGAGTCATGCCCGGCAAGAAGATGCCCGGACGGATGGGCAACGAGCGCGTCACGATGCAGAACCTGACGGTGCTCAAGGTGGACAACGAGCTGGGCGTCGTGCTCGTCAAGGGCGCCGTCGCGGGCCCAAAGAACTGCATCGTCAAGCTGCAGGACGCCGTCAAGAGGAAGGCGCCGGCGCTTCCTTACAGGCAGGACAAGTTGAAGGAGCTGTTGGAGGCCAACGTGGATGGCGAGGCGAGATTGCAGGAGGCCAGAGAGAGGCACTTGGAGCTGAAGAAGGAGAGGAAAGAGATCCCGGCACTTGTATAGATATCGTCCACCCCCATTTTTCCTCCGCTGTTGTTTACGAAAGTCTGTGTACTATACATGTTGTACATTTATCACCCCCTGAAGAGAGGCGCATAGCTTTAGGGTCATTATCTCGCCCGACCCGAATTTCAACCCAATGACTTGACTACTTTCGCCTCATGCATGCTTTTGATGACGAGCCCCTAAAGAGTGCCTCTAAGTGGCCGTAGTGCTGCCGTGTTCAACCATCCACCCCAAGCGAGTCTCCGTCTCTCACTTGATATTCTGTCTGAACCCCCTCGTCTCCGCCGCCGACACCACAGCCTCAAGATCATCCTCACTCAAATCATCACCCGGAATCGACCCCTTGAACGGATCCGCCCCGTCAAGCAAATCAATCACCCTCCCGTCAGGCGTCTCCAAGCTCCACTCGGTCGTCTCAAACAACCCCTTGTGCGACGTCCGGTAGCTGGCAAACTTCATGACGGCCTCGTTGCGCGACCCCTTGACGCTGAAGCTGATGTCGATGCGCCCGTGGAGCTGGTTCATCTCGCCGGCGATCCAGGGGATCTGGTGCTTGAACTGCACCTCGTCGCCGAGGTACTCGCGGGCTTTCGGGGAGGTGCGGAGCGCGTAGAGGGTCGAGGCGATGACGGGGGAGGAGGACTTTTGGTAGTTGAAGATTGCGATGCTGCTGAGGGCGATGGCGGCGGCGAAGAGGGGGAGGGTGCGGGACCAGCGGAAGGTGATTTGGTTGAGGTCTGTTTGTGTAGGATTGGAGGTCAGTGGATGGACGGCAACGGGGGAGAGAGGGAGGGGGAGAGAGAGAGAGAGAGAGAGAGAGAGAGAGAGAGAGAGAGAGACGGGGAGCGGACCTGGGAGTTCTCGGTCGGCGCGCCGCTCCATCAGCGGTCCTGACCCGGGCTTGGGCGCCGCGGTCGCCCATCTCCTTTGAGCCTGCGCTCTGAGCTGCTGCGGCTGCTGCCGTTGCCTCGCGGCGGCGCTGCGCAGCGAGAAGGCGAACCTCCCGGTGACTGTGTTTGAGAACATGCTCGAAAATTAAAGCCTTGTGGTATCCAGGCGCCCTTCGAGTTAAATTGGGCTACCGCGTCCGTGGAGTGTGGTCGGTTTGGATTTCGTGATGCCGGATCGTGGAGTCTGGGTCAAATTCTCGGGATGCTCCGAATCAGACCATGCGAAGTTCGGTCAGTTCGGTCGGTTCGGTCTCGACTCTCGGTAGGCGGGCCAAAGCTCTCTTTCAAAGAAAATTCCCGGGGTCCTGGCGCGGGCGTTTGGAGAGGAAAGAAAAAAGCAATCGATAAACACCAACCAATCAGACCCCCAGTTCAAGACCCCTGTCGCACATTGTCCAGCTGGCGCGCGTCATAAGGCTGAGTGGTCACGGCCCCCCGCGAGAGGTAGGGTAAGCTCCATCTACACCTTTCAATACTGTTACCTGTGGTAGCCTACCAACCTACCCAGGCTTCTACGAATCTGTCTTCATCGACTAGACTTGTTAAACTACAAGACCAGGTGTCTGCGCTTCTACCAACTCCGACTTCGTTACACAAACACCAGCGATCCGCTACAACCATCGCGCATTCGGAAATCCCCCCAAACACCAAAAATGGCAGAACCTCAAGGTGCAGCCGCTCGTCTGCGGCGCACATTCCACTATCCCACAGACGACGATTCAGCAGACTCACAGCCAGAAGCCATGGATGAAGAGGGTACGCAAGACACCCCCCAAAAAACCTCCCCATTCGCCTCTCTTTCAATCCCATCATCAATATCTCCAACACCAAACTAACACCTCCCACTCCCAACCACAGAACAAGAAACCCTCATCCGCCGCCTCGCAGAAGACAACGTAACCCGCAACGCCCAATTCGCAACCGCCCTCCTCGCCCTCCCCCTCCTAACAACGATCCCCTACATCTTCAACCTAGCCCGCCTCTCCGCCCCTCTCACCTCCCTCCTCTCCCTCACCTCCCTCCTCTCGACCGCCTACCTCCTCCACACCCAACCCCCAGGCGCGACCGGCATCCCCTGGCTCGAAGCTTGGGCCCGACCAAAGACCCCGCGCCCCAGCCCGGCCTCCTCGCTCGAGTCCTCGACCTCGTCCGTTTCTGGTGGTCCATCGTCCTACCAACCCATCCAGACGACGCAGAGGAGACGCAGGCGGAGTTCGTTCTCGTTTGCAGAGGAGCAAAAAGGTCCGTTGGAGCTGTATTTACCGTACCTCAACCTCGGGCTCTGCGCTATGCTCGTCCTGGCGGGCTTGGCGACAAAGTCGAGCGACAAGGCTACGTTTGGCCACGTGGGGTTGGGGAACTTGCCCGCTATAGTGTACGTTGTTGTTCTGATCGCAAAGGTGGTCATGGGCAGCGTCGATCCGGAGAAGGAGTTGGCCTCGCTCAAGTATGGATTCAAGGGCGCGTAAGCTTACAGCAAAGTACATAAGTACGGGACGGCGGGTATGTGTATTGTTTGTGTTTTACTACGAATACCACGGGACGGAAGGAGTTACTTTACGACTTATGCTGGAATGATGACGTATCATTATGGAGCGAGCGCTGGGAAGGAAAAAAAATCCGAAGTCGGGCTACAAATCGAGATTGAAAAAGAGTGCACGCAAGTCTATTAACTTTTGCTGACACGTAATTACAACATTCTACACGTCTATGGATTCGTTGAAGCGCAATACACCGTGACTTTTGAGCACACCGTCCACCCCCTTGGGCAGCCGCGGGAACGGATCGGTCAAGGAATTTGTTGACGACGGATCCAGCGACTTGTCGGTGACCAGCGCAAGCCCGTGTGACTTGATGGCGTCCACCAAGGCGGGGACCATCTCCTGTTGTACAGTCAGTAAGAACATCGCAGTCATTCACGCTAGGGCCCGAACGTACCAAAAGCCGCGAGCAGCAAATCAAGCCCATGAAGTTGTTGCCTTGCGCAACCCGAACCACCTCCTTGATTGACGCAGATCTTCTGCCGTGGCTCTGAATGATGTCTGGCGGCGCCATGACGTCCTCCCGTCCCAAATCATTGCACAGGAACACGGGGAAGTTTGGCTGCTTCCAGTTGAGCGCTGTACACATGCTCGGGTTATATGAACTGAACACCACAGAGCGAACCGACTCGAGGGACTGTGCTCGCTGAGCGCGGGCGTGGTCAAACACAATGGTGAGAAGAGAGTCGACGAATGTGTTCAGATCCAGCGATGGACCCAGACCTAGTGACCTCTCTTCGTCCAGTGACGGGTACAAGATTTGGATGTTGACATGCATACCATGCGGGAGTAGAGCCAGCGCCTCATTGAGAGGGATACCTGCCGTCGCAAGAACCCGATGAACGTCTGCAATTGCGTCCAGAGGTCTTGTTGGTAATGATGCCAGCTCGGCTCTGCTGGGACTCTTTGACGTAATCGTATTGAACTGCTCCATTGTCAATCTTGAGATTGGTAGGTCGATTCCACCACATGGTATCGTCCATCTCGGCCACAAAACTGGCACACCATCGCTGGTGTGCTGGACGAAGAGTTGGACAAAGTCGCCTGACAAACTCGAACCAGTCACAAATGTGCTTGGACTGCGGTCAAACTGGCTTGTCGCCTTCCAATACGTCTCGAAATCCGTGATCTCGAGCGGCTTGCCGTTGAATGGCTTGATGACCTGAGTGTGGAAGCTGATCTGGCCAATTGCGCGTAACCTCGGATCGAACAGGGGCAGGCAGCACTTCCCTGAGCTACTGAGCAGCGCCTTGAAGGTGTTGGGAAGGGCCACCGTCTTGGCAATGATTTTCGCGCCATAAGTGGGGAAAACGTCGAAATCGAGTGTAAACGACTCCAGGTTGTCGATTTGGAAGGAAACAATACGGGTATCTTCTTGGAAAGGCAGCATGATATTCTTGGGGATGAGATCGGAAACCTTGGACGAAATCGTGAGTCGGGCGGCAGGGTACTTTCCGTCGTGGAAGAACACTAGAGGCTGGTCTCCGTTTTCCTCGAAACTGATTTGGATGACTGTCTTGGTATCCAGGAAGTTGTGTCCGTACCGGCGCAACGGTATTATTGGCGGCGGCAGCTCAAGCTCAGGGATGGCATCCGGGTCGAGGGCCATCGGGTCGGGCCCGCTGCTCATCATAGGCCCCAAACCGGGCTGCGTGACCATGGGGCTTGCCTTCGTTCTTGCGTTGTACGGAGCAAGCAATTGCATGCATTCGAGGTGGCCTTCCCATACAGCGTAATACATTGCCGGTAGGTCCTTTTCGTCGACGATGTTGGGGTCTGCTCCAACGTCCAATAACCCTTGGAGGCAGGGAACGTTGCCTTCGCTCGCGGCATGAACCAGGGGCGTCCATCCGTACAACTTGTCGACCTGATCGAGGTTCGCTCCAAAGTTCTTGAGCAAAAGCAGGAGCTCTGGCCTTTGGCCTGACCGAGCTACAAGATGTTGGGGGTAGAGTCCCTCGGTGTCGGGAACGATCTGTGCTCCATGCTGGAGGAGCATTTCCACGATTGCCAACGAACCATGCTCGCAGGCAAGATTCAACGGTACATGATCTGCATCAGAGACAGGGTCGATTCGAGCAGACTTTGCCAGCAGTCGCTCAACACACTGCAGATGGCCGTGGATGATTGAGTGTACCAGGGGGGTAAAGTTGTCATGGTCGATCAAATCTATCGTTGAAGTATCCGCTGTAAGGCTATGTTAGCAACCACGTAACCATGCTGCCTGTACTTGTAAGATCTCACCACTCGTGAGGGCATCAAGCATGTCCAAGCGTCCGTGCATACTGGCATAATGCAGCGGAACCCTGCCATACACATCGGTACGACTGACAGCAACACCTTTTGCCAGACCGTATTCAAGAACGAACGAGTTCCCATAGATGGCGGCTTGGTGCAGGCAATTGCGTTCGTTAATGTCATCCTCCGACTGTATGTCGACCAAATCCGTGTCGAGGAGAGCCTGAAGAGTCTCTTTCGGCGCTTCGTGGATGGCGGCAAGGAAAGTTCTAGTCACTCTTTCCATTAAAGAGATGTCGGAGCCCGAGGATGAGCTAGCAGCCGTCCGCATTCGAATCAGCAGATCCCTCAACGCCTCGAGGTTCCCAGAGATGACCGTGTCGAGTAGTAGTGTGTCCGCATCACCTTCGTCGGTTCCGAGCAGATGCTGGCTGCTAACGATATGATCACTGCGAGGCTCGAAGCTGACATTGTCACCCTCCGCCCAAGCCCCCAGGTCTTGGAGACTAGTAGTGGCCTGGTCGGACAGTTCGCTAATGACGGTGGCATTGAAGAAGGGCTGGACTTCGACTGCTCTGGATAGATAGAGCTCTTTGGTCTTCGACTTTGATGTCTTGTCCCACTTTTTGAGGATTTTGGAGAAGGCGGTTCCGTTGATCTCAACAAACTGCTGCAGCTTGTTCAAATCGCTGGCGAACTGTTGGAACCCCTCTTCGAGAGTTGTGAACTTGGCTGAACGCCTGGAAACACCATTGCGAGACTGCAACACCTTCTTCTTGTCGAGAAGGGTCTTCAGTCGCACCTTGAGCTAGGCGGGGGTCAGTTCTGGCAGGGTAAAGTCATCTCATTAGACAGGAGAGATAATTGCATACCTCTGCCTCCTTTTGTAGGTAAAAGGCGTTGACCTTTTCGAGCTCTCGTTCCTGTTCGAGAGTCAGTAAGTACGGTGGGAAGTTCATCGCACTGACCCATGGCTGGATACATACCAATTGGAAGAAGAATGTGGCCTTGTTGGCCTGAAGGGCAGCCTGGGAGTCTATAGATATTGCGGAGCGGAGAGGGTCATGTTGTGCGCTCAGCGTGGGCGTAGCCGACAATTTCTTGATCAGCTAGTAGCGAGTGTCAGTGGTAACGCCGGATATGATTAGCTATTGCCATGGGGGCTTGCTCCATTCACCTGCCCCTGACGGGACAGTATCGGGTAACGAGGTGACTAAATCCTGGAGGGTATTTTTTTTTCCTTTTTGTGGTTTGCATACCAAGCTTCCTCCCAATGCGGAAGAGGAGCGAGGAAATGGGGTAACAAAAGGGGAATAGATTCTGAAGATAAAACTGCTGAACTACGCGACGTACCTTTTTGAGAGCCTTGTAGTTGACAAAACTAGCGGCGTACTCTGGAACTTCAAGCTGACGCTTCTGAATCTGCTTGCCGAACTTCCTGTTGGGATATCAGCCCAAGTTCGCCAGTAAGAACAAATTAGGGGATATAGTGTTAGGGCAAAGAGACTGACATGATGGACGGACGCCCGTGAGATCACGGCGGCGTCCAAAGATTAACGTTGTAAGAGACAGTCGTATGCGTGCCCTCCAATACTAGCAAGCTGACAGTGGATGTCTGCAGGGAGAAAGCTGATGACAGCAGGAGGCTCTGCCGACGTGAATATGCGTCGGCGGCAGCAAAGCAAAGTAGCCACCGGCACAAGGGTATGCTGAGTGACGTCGCCTGGTAGCAGAGTTGTCTGGAAGAGCTACGAGTTGATGTAGAGAACCGCACGTGGGGGGCTCTTCAGCGGCGCAGGCTGATAGGACGAGTAGTTGAGGAAATCAAGGCCCTTTCTGGCGATCGGCGAAATAGAATCCTGCCGCGTAAGGTAGACGGGGCAGTGATAAAGCCCAGCAAAGATCCAAGTTGATGGAAGGATTCAAAGCTGTTGCTTGGGTTAGAATTTGAATGTCTTGACTAAAGGGGACGACGATCGGGAGATATCCCTCGTGCGAGAAGATGACCGCTTGGCCAGTAGAGCCACCGAGTACCTATGGCTGAAAATTGAGCACGCCGAAGGAAGAGGAATCTAAGACCAGTACCCATGAAGAAACTAGTGCATAGCAAGCAAGATGGGTAAGGTAGTGAGTGGGTGGGGGTATTCTGAAGCTATCCCGGGCTTGCCTCGGTGACAACCAGGCTCTGAAGAAAGAGGGACAACAACGCACGCGGCTCTCAGAACATGGACATGGTCAGGCGTTTGCTCTGAATAAGGTAGGTGCCACGAGTAGGTAATAGTTATCGATGCTAGACACTGCGTGGGGGCATAGAGAACGATGAATGGTTGCAGGGACTGGCTGCCAGTGGATGACAATATACCATGTCAGCGCCAGTGTCGGTTGGCGCACCCGTTTTTTTTGTCTTCGATCAGGAAAGCAAGGCCTGAGCCAGGACCAGATCTAGTAACGGGTTGAACGGGGGGTGAGGTTAGGAAAACGAGGCGCGGCCGGGGACCAGAACGTTGTCTCGTCCAGGGTGCTGGCTCCGTTTCTTGCTTTGACTGGGGAATAAGAGGAAACGAATGCGTTATTGACCGTGGTGATAGGGATTATGCAAAAGAAGCAGTAAAGCATGGATCGAGGGTGAGAAAAAAAGGTAACGTGGGTTGGAGTTTATGGAAAAGGAAGGCAATGGTAACAGCAAACAGACTTGCGCCGAATCGGAGCAGATCACGAGATTGGTTGTTGGGAGACATTCATGCTTACCGGTCAAGATAGCAGGTTCAAGAGGTGATTGCTTCAATCTAGGCTCTTTCGAGTGAGAACAATGATGTCTTAAGCTACAGTAAGTTGCAGCAGTGGCATATGCGTCGGTCTTGGTGTCGTTTGAGAGTGAAGTCGAATTAGGCAAACCGAGGGCAGGTCAGATGGATGAGTTGTACGGTTCTGCAACTCTACCTCATCGGTATGTCGAAGTTTGCAGGGCGGCGGCGGTAAGAATGACGGCAGCCCAGATCTAGATTTCGGATATGGGGGTGTTGAGTGAGAGGTGAGATGCGACTCTAGAAACTTAAGGCAGAAGAGGTCCAGATCAGGGGGTACTGTGTGTATCTACCTTTCCTCACTTCTCTCTCTCTCTCAAGACGATGGGCCAGCAGGGCAGGCCGTAGTGGCAGAGGCAGTTGGCAGTCAAAGTCGTGAAATGCAAATGGGTGCCGGCCGGGGTCTTGGCCAACCATGGTATCGGTCTGTCCAATGGCAGGGCCGAGGAGTACCAGCGACGGTCCAGCGGGTGGATTCACCTGCCGGCCCTGGGTGCCACGGTGCGTGCTTGGGAAGGAAGTTGCGTCTGGTCTTTCTTGCCCGTGCTGCGTGCAAGAGAGCAAGAGTGCAAGAGCATCCATCAGCCCCTCCCCTGTCTAGCTGTGAGGTGCGGGGTACCTTTTCTCATGTCACTCCTACCACCCTTGCGGGAATGCGCACTGAAGACGACGTTGCACCTGCAAGAACTGCAAGAGCTGCGAGGATTCATCCACTCAGATGGGCAAGACTCGATAAACGGAAAGGGATCAAGTGTGGCTCTCTGACTGTTTTTTGCCCAGTGCCCTGCCGTTTCGCCCTACTTGGAAAGTCTCTCAACATCAACCTACGATGAGATCCCTTGAAAGGACATCTCGCCTACAACCTATCACCTACCTATCAGACCTGTCGTATCCTGCGCCTCTACCGTCTTCCGACCTTGTCTGTCCGGGTCAACATCAAAGCGAGTATCTTCTGCTTGTACCTACCTACTCGGGCAAGTTCTCGCGCCATCTCGGAAACGAGGAAATAGTCGGACGACCTGGACCGTCAAATGTACCCGCTTTCTGGCAGTTCAACAACGCATTGCGTCTGGCAGTGTATAATATCACAGAAACCGAGCACGTGTGCCGTTTTTCATGGCTTCTGCGTGGATCCAAGAGGGGTCTGAAATTCTGAACGGCCATGTCTCTCGTGCCAGACAGTAGACTTCCCCCCATTTAGCAACATTTTATCTACTTTTCAATAGCCGCAGTCGTCACCAGCAGTACCTCGATGGGCCACGGCAGCAGTACGTCGACAATAGGTACCAAACAACATGTACATACCCTCAAGGAACACCCGTGGAGTCCCCCTCCCACCCACACATGCGCTTGATTCGCTCTCCCCCGTAGCCAAGTCTTCAGATCGCCAGCCAATGATGGCTCGCACATGAACCACGTTTTCCTCTCGACGTGCCAAGGACAAGGCTGAGAGGCTTCCTTACAGCACACGCACACTGCCAAAAACTCGGGCGTCGAGCCGTTGGAAATTTTCTACCTCTATATTTCTCCGAGACGAAACCTCAACTCCCTCTGCACCTGTGCTGGTTCTCGGGCTGAGGTTCATTGTCAGGCTGGATGGATCCGAGATTTTCCATCTGCCATTCAGTTCCCGGCTCTACTCGGCGTCAAGGGTCATTCTGGCGAAGCTCCATACGGCCCAATGGACTTCCATTTTCACCGAGACGTCCCGTTGAGGGGTGCTGCTTGAGTGCGACAAATACCGTTCCAAACGATCGACTCCAACCATCTTTTTTCAGTAGACCTGCCGGCTTTCACCAAATCGCTATGGCTACGAAAAAAAGGGCCTCAGCTCTAACCGGTTGGAATGTTTCATGCCCAGACTTGCAGCAGCAGCTCCAGCAACCTGCATCAATACGGAACCAGCCGGAGTGGTGGGCAGAAAAAGCACACCAAAACTTCCCCGTCCAAGGAATGTAGTGCGGGGCAATTCAACCCGCGAGGGGCATCCAACTTGCGGCGGCCATTTCTCGCTCTTTCGCTTCGCTTCACAAGCCGTTGTAGACCCAAAAAGCGGGTGGCACGATCCATTCCCAGTCCGCTGTTATTGACAAGTTTCTCAACTTATGTTGTCGACCCTTGCGAATCAGAATGCTTGTTTTCTGGTCGGATATAGGAGCCAATTAGCGGTAGACCACCATGGAGCCCATCAAAGCCCGAGGACGGGTATGGAATTCCGGAGGTCATCGTGGAGTATGGAAACTGTCAACTGGGGCATGGGGCGTTTTTGGAGCATCTCGCCTAAAAGCCAGAATCAGCAGTCGAAGGACGCTCCTCGCAATTCGCCTGGGCCTTTCTACCGCCACGGATGGATTATATCAAGATGCGGCTGTTCGGGAATGGAACAGCGACATGGCGGGGCATATCAGCTGCATGCTACCTTACCTTGACATGTTTGCATCCGCGGACCAACCTGAACCTAGGTAACCTGGCAAGTGGCCATGCGGGAAAAGGCCGCGACCCCCATTCCCATCCGCTGCTTGCCGCATTATGAACGACAGCCATGTTCACGACGTACAAATACGTCAGAGGCCGATCGACCAAACAAGGGTCTTTTGCGGGTGGTCTATCCCGGTATGCTTTGTATGCCTCGGTGTCTATTCCGTACATCATCATCACCACGCCTCTTTGTATGCAAGATCCGCGTGACCTTCCTGTTTCTATGTGTTCCAACTTCCAACTCACACCACCGCCAAGTCGGCAAACCGGCCTGGTTCCTAAGCGATAACATGAAATCCGATTTTGGATTTCTTCGATAACGGGTGAGAAACATGGACAGCAGTAACAATATCGCGGGATACTCTCAATTTAGATGTCCTAACTAAAGGTACGTTTCTTAGTGAAATGGAAAGGGGAATCATGAAATCCCAGGTTCGCCATGCCTCCCGAGACCCCCCCCCCTGTTGTCCAGGCTGTCTTCGCCATTGTGGCTCAAGCCATGGGAGTGGGAGGTTTTGGATATCTGAAAATGAAAGTATTGTATCAACGCAAAAGCCGCCTTCCCTCCTCAGACCACCACAGTCCAAACCTCGCTCTTGATATTAAAATCTTCAGTTCTTTTTGGTCTCAGCACCAGCCGCCTCGCCGCTCTTGGACTCGACGAGACTATCCGCCATGGCCTCGGCAGCGGCCTTCTTGAGCCTCTCGCTGTCCTCCGAGCTGGCGCCGGCGTCCTTGGCAGTAGTATCCTTGCTGGTGGACGCGGCCTTCTCCTTTGCCTCCCGCTCGTCTTCGCTGTCGCCCAGGCTAAAGGGGTCGTTGTCGCTGATGGGGTTCGGGTCGACCGTCGACAGGGGCTGCCACTTGCTGGCCTTGGTCTTTGAGCCTGACAGGTCTTCGGCGGAGCGTCTGGGCGACGAGCCGTACACGTCAATCTCCTCGGCGCCTTCTCTGAAGGCCACGTGACGGCCGTCGTGGGGCTTGGGCGACTTTGAGGGTGGAGGGGGTTTGTAGAGGTCAGGGTTTGACAGAGGTCTGTTGTTATCGCGGAGAGGGGCTGGTTTTTCGTTTGTTAGCATCGCGCGGGCTAGTGGCAGTGAAAAAAGGGGCATCGGGACTTACTTCCGTCGGCGGTAAACTTCATACCCGCAAAGTCGTCGCTGAGCACCTGGGGGTCGGCGTCGTATCTCTCGTAATCGCCGCTCCGGCGGCTCGACTCGCCGGGTCGTCGAGCACCATACTGGCCCTGACCCTGACCTTGACCCGGTCGCTGCTGGCTGGATTCGTCCTCGTCGGCAAACTCCTCGTCGAACCTCTTCTTCATTGTGGTGATCCAGCTGTTGACCTTGCCCTGCGTCTCCACGAACCCCTTTCGGAGCTTCTCCTGAATCACCGGCAACTCGTCGTCGAAGAAGTTGGGTTCGCGGTCCTCGGAGTTCGGTCTGGGCTCGAGGCCGGTCTGCTGCCTTCTCACACGGCCACCGCCGCCGCCGCCGGGGCTCCGGTTGGACGTTCTAGCCTCGTAGCTGCCGACATTGTCAAAGTGCTCCGCCAGCTGTCGCGCGTAGAGCTCGTCAGCCTCGAGCTGGGATAGCTGCGGGCCGCCACCCTGGGGGCGGGGAGGCTGGGGAGGGGGTTGTTCGTCGGTGGTCTCGCCCTGGGCCGCATCGGGGTCGGTCATTTCTATATCGGGGCTCATCAGTATAGAACTTGGGAGCGGGGGGTGAGCAAGCGATAGGGTCACGCGACACGTACCCAGGAGGGCATTGAATGCCGGATCAATCTTTCCGCCGCTGGCTCTCAGGACCGCTTTGATGACAGAGATGTCGATGCTGGGGAAGGCCTCCTTTAAGATGTCCTCCGTCTTCTGCGTCTCGCCGGAGGGCCTCGGGGGCTTTGGTGGGGCCGCTTCGGCGGCGGCGGGGGGTGTCGAGGAGGCCATGTTGGACGAGGTGGTGTTGGTGTTGGGGGTAGTAGCCTGGGATGTAGTAGGAGCCTCACCGCCGAGAATACCTGTTTCCTGGACGTCTTCGTCGTCGGATAGATCCAAGGGTCGAACTGTTGTAGGCGACTCGGGCCCGCTCGAGGAAGTAAGCTTGTTCTAGGAAAAAGAGATGAGGTGTCAGTTCTCTGGACAGGTCGACAGGGTACACCCGCATGAAGTTTGGGCTTGTTTCGGGGGACGGGATATATGCGCACTGTTTCGATGGGGGCAGACATGACTACTGTTCGGTCGCTCTCCTGTACTTCTTCTCTCCTTGGGAGAGGGATCGTTTTCGTGCAAGATGAAGGTCCCCCAGCAGAAGAATAGGAGTAGCTAGCAAGCAAAGTCGCTCGAGGATGGAGGAGGGGGTAATTTGGTTGCTTTCGCGAGATTGTTACGTGCAAGGACGTTGCGGAATGCGCGCGCCCGGACGGAGGGGTTGGAGACTGGAGAGCAGCTGGCGAGATGACATTAAAGTGGGTTACGAAGCTGATGACGCCGCGCCCCCTTTGGGGAACTGGGAACCTCTAGGCGCCAGCTTGAGCTTGATGCTAAGCCACAATCCTGCCGCCACACTTGCCGTCAGATTGTACCGCTCAAGTATCCGTAATACTGACAACTTCCTTCTATCGTCGTAATTACTGCTGCTGCTGCTCTTTTGGCTATCTAAGCTTCACTCAATATTGTTTATTCATAAGTCATGTCAAGGAGCATGGATGCAGTAGTTATCATAGCTCAAGAGTGATAAAACGGCCAATTTCGATGCATCAGAGGCATAGTATTATGTCAGCCATTCAGCACTGAAGGTCCTAGAATAGTAAGTGGGGTGGAACCAGATATCACCACTTGTGCACAGCTGGTAACACTCTACTCAGCTTAAATTGCAACCCGCAATGTCGACGACCACTGACAAACGAGGCCAACTGTGAGGCCAAACCACACTTACAAGAGAAGCTGTCAGTTAAAATGAGATATATAAGGTGACGGACCTTTTGACTTGCACGAGATTCCTCATTTTGATGATAGATGTAAGGTCAGTTGCCAGTATCTGAAGGTATCATCACCAAACTGAATAAACATCACTCATTTCTAACACATTTACGCAGTCTCTAGTCAACAGCCAAACGGTTCTCATCAAACCATGGCAGACTTCGATCTCAACTCGGCCTTCATCCCGGCCCTACACAAGCCATCGGCCCTCCTCCCCATCGCAAAGCATCGTGAGGCCTTGCTGTACCTCATCGAGACCAAGCAAGTCACCATCGTTGTCGGCCAGACCGGCTCCGGCAAGACCACGCAGATCCCCCAGTTCCTCGAAGCCGCGGGATGGTGCGCAGACGGCAAAGTCATCGGCATCACGCAGCCGCGCCGCGTGGCGGCGACAACGGTCGCACTCCGCGTCGCTGAGGAGGTTGGCTGTGAGATTGGCCAGCAAGTCGGCTACGCTATCCGGTTCGAGGACCTTACTTCGGCGCAGACGCGCATCAAGTTCATGACGGACGGTCTGCTTATCCGGGAGGCACTTGTTGACCCCTTGTTGACACGGTACTCTGTTATCATGGTTGATGAAGCCCATGAGCGCTCCATCAGCACCGATATCCTCCTGGGACTGCTCAAGAAGATTCTCAAGAAAAGACCCGAGTTGCGCATCATCATCAGTAGTGCAACGCTCCAGGCCGAGGAGTTTTTGAAATTCTTTACAACTTCTCCAGGAGACGAGCAGAAGAAGACGGTCAACGCCCCCGAGAACAAGGATGGAAATCACGGTGCCGACGACGACGACGACAAAAAGGGTGCGATCATTAGCTTGGAGGGCAGAACACATCACGTCGACGTCCTCTACCTAGAATCACCAACCGAGGACTACGTCGAAAAGGCAATCTCCACCGTCTTCGACATACACACAACAGAGTCCGAAGGCGACATACTCGTCTTCCTCACAGGCCGCGAAGAAATCGACAACGCCATCCAGGCCGTCGCCGACCGCCTGCTGGACCCGAACCAACCCAAGGGCCAGCAAACACTACAAGCGCTGCCCCTGTACGCGGGCCTCTCAACAGAACAACAAATGTACGTCTTTGACAAGCCTCCCGAGGGCACGCGGAAAGTCGTCTTCGCGACCAACATCGCCGAGGCCTCCATCACAATCGACGGCATCGTCTACGTACTCGACTCGGGCTTCGCCAAGCTGCGCGCCTACAACCCGCGTACGGGCATCGAAACCCTCACCTCGACCGCCATCTCCAAGGCCTCGGCATCTCAGCGTGCCGGCCGCGCAGGACGCACCCGGCCCGGCAAGTGCTTCCGGCTCTACACGGAAGACGCATACCTCGCCCTCCCCGAGGTCACCGTCCCCGAGATGCAGCGCTCCAACCTGGCGCCCTTTATCCTGCAGCTCAAGGCCCTCGGCATCGACAACGTCCTGCGCTTCAACTTCCTCAGCCCGCCGCCCGCGGAGCTCATGGCCAAAGCCCTGGAGCTCCTCTACTCTTTGGGGGCCCTCGACGAGTACGCCAAGCTGACGAAGCCGCTGGGCTACCGCATGGTCGAGCTGGCCGTCGAGCCAATGATGGCCAAGACGCTGCTCGGCGCGCAGTCGTTCGGGTGCCTGAGCGAGATGCTCACCATCGCGGCCATGACGAGCGCCGGCGGGAACAACGTCTGGTTCCACCACGACGGCGAGAGGAAGCAGATGGAGCTGTCGCGGCGCAAGTTCGCCGCCGACGAGGGCGACCACCTGACGCTGCTCAACGCCTACCAGGCCTTTGTGACAAAGGGCAAAAAGGAGTCCAAGTTCTGCCGGGACAACAACCTCAACTTCAAGACCATGACGCGGGCCGTCAGCATACGGGCGCAGTTGAAGCGGTACCTTGAAAAATTCGGCATCACCGTCGACAACGGACCCTCCGGCCCGGGCTCACGACAACAACAAAGTCAGCAAGACAACTCCACAAAGGCGGAGCAGATGCGGCGGTGCCTGACGACGGGCTACTTTGCGCACGCGGCGAGGATGCAGCCGGACGGCACGTTCCGCAACGTCTCGGGCGAGACGACGCTCCACGCGCACCCCAGCTCGCTCATGTTCAACCGCAAGGCCGACTGGGTCATTTTCCACGAGGTCATGGAGACGGCCAACAAGATCTTCATACGGGACATGACCAAAATCGAAAAGACTTGGCTGGTGGAGTACGCGCCGGAATTCTATCAGCTATCGGACAGTTCGGCGCGGCGGGCACGCGACGAGGCTGAAGCTGAAACGCGGTGAAGAGAGAAAAAAAAAAAGGAGGAAGTTGAGGAACAGCCTACGGATGGATACCGGGATACAGGACAGGACAGGACGATGACACTGGGATTACTGGATGGGATGTAAAGTTGGGAGGCAGCAGGAGGAGGAAGGGGTCCTTGTTCTTGTGGTACGAGGGCGAGATGAGACGAGATTAGGGCGGCGGGGGGGCTTCGATGAGGCTGGGCATTTGAAGCCTCGAAGAAGTGAAGAATCTGCCGTATTCTTGACAGCAGGGCTATGAGTTATGCCACGTTGGCAGAGCCTCACAGGGGGAGACATGAGGCTATTGCAACTTTCAGACTTTTCTTGGTGATGGAAACTTTCGACCATTGCCAATATCCGTACAGAAGACGGATACATAGTAGAATGTTCGTATTCATTCAAAGTTGAGGACACTGGCCCAGCTCACAGGATTCAAGACTTAACCGTGAGCTGCGGCAGATATACGAGAATTGTGAGAATCTGAAGCAGGGCCGAATCGCTACCGCTGTCTTTGATAGGGCGGGCCGAGTGCAACCGTAGGGCAGTGTCGACGGTCTACCGCAAGCTCATGGTGGCGTTGCAGGGCTCGAAATTGATGCCGTCGGTCAGAGATACCGAGTGGAGGCTCCTGCTCTCAGGAGTCAGTTTTCTGTATCGTACAGATACGATTATCGATGTACGGATAGGCAAATCTACACAACTAAGGTAGTTGACAAGAAATGAGATTGTGCAGAAAACCACAACTTTATGAAACGCATCTGCACAGCGGCACAGTAACCGATTATACGCCAATTATACGAGTGCTGCAGACTGAGAGTGATAGCGGTCGAACACTGCGCATTGTGATTGGCAGTGAATCTCAAGCAGACCAAGACGACGGGGCCGATCAAGATTTCTCGGCCAATGACCAAGCTTTGGAGGATCCATCGAGATTAGCTTAATTACTCGACTGGGGGCGATGCCAATTGTGATTTGGGTTTATTGACTGGTTCGCCAAGCACAGCAACGGGATTGACTATTTCTCATCCTCATCATGAGCGGCTGGTCTAGCCAGTTTAGAGCCGCTTTACCCCTGAGTCTTGGGTCAAGGGGAATTCGACGACGTTGTATGACAACTCGGGTGGCTTCATTGTTCTCGCACTCGGATGAGGTGACACTGTCTTTGTCGAGTGACACGTGAGACAAGACATAGGTACGTCTATGCTTGTTTCTCCGGAAACATGCATATATAGACTCTCAGACGGAATGCTTCTGTCTCTCTTCAGATAGAGGAACCCGGAGGGCCCGGAGGCCTGAAGTCATGTGAATACCGCAAACCCCAGCCACCGCCGGAGGGGACATTGGAACGCCGGTGGAATCAGGGACTGTCTTGCAAAAAGGGGATGAGGACCCCCCCCCTCTTTTCTTGCCTTGGCGTCACTGTCAGCACCGGCCAGAAACCCGATGAGGGCAATTCTCGCACGATAGAACCGGACGAGAACCGATTAGCAACGGCCATGGCAGACGCCTGGCTCAAATTCCCAATTCCCAAGGAAAGGGACTGGCACTGCAATGCATCGCGATGACATGCGACTCAGATCCCCCTCGATTATCGGTGCCGGCGGGAAAGGATACCAGATGCGATGCGCTGAGCCGGACAACTGCCGCATCTCTTTTTTCACCGGCCCCTTAACCCGGCCCTCCGTTGTCGCTGCATGGATCCCCCGTAAAAGGAGACAGGTGCGACGCTGCGACCGCATGATGCGAAGCTGGGAGGTCCCGGATCAAGAGGGGAGTCTTTGTTTCCTTGTTTCTTTCTGATTTGAACGGAGGTGTTTACCCTTGAAAAAGGTGAGTGATCGTCGTTGGAGGTGCGACTGGGATTGTCCACCCCCACCCAGAGCCGAAATGACGGCTCGAGATGCCGCGTCGGTGTTGTTGTTGAACCTGCTGGCACTGGCAATTGCTGCGTTTTGGTAAGCTCAGCCTATTATGCTATGCGCTTGTTTGCCCGGTGTTGCATGCAGAAACGCTGATAACAAGTAAGAAGCCGTGCGCGCGCGATTTAAACGATGATGAGCGAATGCACTGTGAGGCAAACCATGATAAGGGACACGCAAGTCAGGAGCTGCGTCGCACCGTTCAACACCAGCAGCTAAGTATAGGTAGAGCTTGTTAGGGTTGCAGGCGTATCTATGCCTTTCGTAGGATGGTTTGGTCGATACTTAAAAGGCGTATCCGTACTCCGCGATCCGTACCCGTTGAGTAATCCAGTTGGGAGTTGGACCAAAATAGGTAAGCTTGGATGGGTAGCCGGCACGTCAAGAAAAGAGAGGCATAAACTGTCGTGGATCGCGAGCGCGCCAGCGGGGGAGCATGGTGGAGAGCGGACGGTAGCTCAGCCTCCTCGATGAGGTTATCAGGAGAGGTTCAACTTGACCCCGGGAGTGCCCGCCTGCCAGGCCGTGACCGTTGACAACCTCATTCCAAGGTCCAGAGTTGTAACCTGTCGCGGCGTGTAGCTGGCGTCGTCACCGTCCGGCACACCCTTGATAAAGTCCGGGACCTGACTTCCAAGAGGAGAGACAAAGACCCGAGCCAGCTTCAGGTAACGGCTCCAATCTCGGTAGAGACCTGGCTGGGTTTGGGCGTGATTTCGCCGACGAGACAGACAGCCTGGGCTCGAGTGTCGGCGGAGTCTCCCGATGAGTCTTGTCGATAAATTGCCTTGTGCCCCTGATGTTCAGTGCATAAGAAAACAACAAGACGAACAGCAAATTCATAACATCAGATATGAACAGATGCTGGGGGTGTCTGAGACCAGTCTGGATCCAGAAACAGCGACCGAGGATCTAGAAGCCACTGAAGCCACTAGTTCGACGGGAAGATTAGCGCTGCGAGCCTGCTGTGTGGTTGTGTTCTTGTGTTCTTGTGCGCGGGCGGGAAGTGGACAAATCGCAGGGTGAGGCAGAGCATCCCGTCTCTCTGTTTCTTTCCCATGTCTTTCATCCCATCCAGCTAAATTTGTCGGTCAGACTGGGGGTGGTGACAGTGTGAAGAAGTCGATCACTGGTTCGGACGAAACAGCAAACAGCGAAGAGCTGGGACGAAGCTGGCCCTGCTGGGTAGAATGCGACGGCTGGACAGGCAGAAATCGACCGTAAGAGCGACAATCTTCTGCACGGTGTCTGTTGACCGTGCTGTGTGTTGCTGCTGCTGCTGACTGATGTGGCTCACCATCCCGTCCGTCCAATGTGATGCCATCTGATGAACGATATCCACCCGTTGGAGCCTTCCATGGTCGAGGAGGGGCGCGTTCCTGCAGCAAATCCCTGCGCTAGACGAGGAGAGCCCCTGTAGGACCATGCGCTTGTATCGATTTTAGTGCAACGCTCTTGGGATGGCACAGGCGGCATCAGCCAGTCAGCAATCGCCCGTGCCTGACTTGCGGCTGCTCGATAGGATGGTTGGGTGTGGACAGCGCGGGTAGGAAGCCAATGGCGCGAATTGATAGTGATATATGGTGATGTGGTAGCGGTGGTATGTGGTGCTGCAGACCAGAAAAGAAACAAATGGTGAGAAGGGGGCCGTCGGCAGCTAAACTTGGAAGCCCGACGTAGTCACCCAGATAGTAAGTATGCTGTGCATGCTGCCATTTTAAAAAGACGATACTCCGTACTCCATACAGATAATAAGAAAGAAAGAAGCAGAAGAAGAAGAAGCAGAAGAGGTCGAATTGTGCCGGTGCGGGCTCGGACCAGGGGGTTCAAAAGTCGCGCCAGCCCCGGCTCATTTGAGGAAATTGCTTTTCATTCGCCCGTTTCCACAAAAAACGGTTCTTTCCAACCCCGGCCCGTCATCCTGGGCCTGTGGTGAGTATGGACCTGTGAAGTGGACTTTCCCAGGTTGACAGGCACCACCCCCCTTTTCATCCCGGGTACGTGCTGTGTAACTAGGTACCCTACCTAGGTAGGTAGGTAAGGTAGTACGGTGTGTACGTACCGCCCACCCACAGTCCACTGGTTCCTCCTACTCGCGTCCTCACCCCCAATCTTTTTTTCATTTTTCGTGTGCTATTGAACTTATTGAACTCCATTCGATCCAATGGTAGCACTCGCTCTCGTGTCTGGCGGTAGGACGGCGTGGGATGCCCACGATGGGTCTAGCTGTTGTCATCCCGGCCATCTTACAAGGTCCAGGCTCACGGTCATGGGTCAATGTTCAAGGTTCTTTCTCTCCATGGTGCAAGGAGCAAGGAGCCAGAAGCAAAGGAGCAGAGGAGCAAAGGAACAATGAGAGTGAGCTGTCCAGCACCAGGTCCAGGTCCAGGTCCAGGTCCAGGTCCAGGTCAAGGCTGCGTGAAGGAGTCGCCATCTTGTTGGTCCGTTGCTGCTCAATCTCCTCCTCCCCGTCCGCTCGTTGGCTCGTTTCGCTTCGCTTCGCTTGACCTGCAGCCTGTCGCTGCTTGCTGCTGTGGACTGTGGACTGTGGACTGTGGTGGCTCGTCTCCGTCTCCGTCTCCTTCGCTCCCACTCTCGGATCTCCTTCTCGCCTCTCTTTTGCTCGCCCTCACCCCCAAAAGGGACTTACCCTCGTTCCTCTTTCCTTCCGTCCCTCCTCCCCCCCATCGTCGGTCGTTACTCTGATCTTCCGAGGCCAGTGACATCCGTCGACTTTCCACTTTCCACAATCCTCTCTCTGCCTGCCAGCGGGCTCGTCACTCTTTTTTAGGAACCTCGTGGATTGTGTGAATGGATCACCGGACCTAACCGACCTCTCAAACTCACTCCAAAGTCGTTCTTTACTCAACACAACAAACCCCAAACCCAAAATCCCCACCGACTGAATATCCTCGGTGGTTGTCACTCTTTTTTTTTTTGTATCCAGCATCCCGCCCAGGCGTTCGGAACCGTTCACTTCCCACGAGATTCGATTCGAGACTCGAAACCTTCGACTACTTGCTTTTGGTGCCTTGACATTGAACCAATTGTCCCATCCATCCCCTCGAAACCCGTCCCGACTCCCCGATACGATCTTTAGTCCGGTAATGGTGGCATAGTGG